TTCAAAAATCAAAAATAATCGCACTGTAAATGAATGTTCTGCTGAAGAAAAAGAAACTGGAGCCACCGGTCCACCACCTAGTCCAAATCCGACAGTTCCATGGCCTTACCAATGGACTGGTTGTGTTGGACCACCTGATCAAACGAGGGAGGGAGAGGAGTAGTTCCAATTTGGAACAAGTGAGTCCCAGGCAGCGTGTGATAGGTGTAGCTGTAGCGAAGACGATGGACAAAAGATAAGTGTACCCAAGTGAATGGGACAGCGATGAACATGGGCGACACAAGGGGATGAACCTTCTCCAGCTCAAAAATTACCCACCCACGCTCCAACCAGGCAAGACGAGCGACCGATGTTTTGATAGTATATGATGGTAGATTGACGTCATAAAGATGGACCTGTTGCCCTATTTGAACCGGCCACCGGGGCTTTGCTGATATCAGCAGTGGCATGTGGTAGTCAACGGATCGGCGACGGAAGCGGATAGGAAGTGGTGACATCAGAAATGGTGGGGGTGCAAATAAAATGAGGAGGAGGAGGGTGGAGGTGACGGAAAAGTGGATTAGAATGGGGATCCAGAAACGACCGTCAGGTGAGAATAAAAAGGAGAGGAAGGGGCCCATGGTGGGGCTAGGCAAAGGAAGGGGAGTAAGGGAAACAACAAAAGCGAGGGCGCAATGCAATGTGTAGCCAGTGGCGACGCAAAAATTTGCCGAAATGCCGAAACACGGAAAGTACCAGATGGAAAAGCAAAGGTGAGCGTGACTGGATTGCCTAATAGAGGTGGTGCTGATCAGCCACAAGTTCAAAAAGGGCAATATTAATTACTATTCCACGTGGCACTGTGCCTGTGTGGCGCAAAGGCGAGTCTTTTGAATATTCGCTTCATTATTGACACCTGTCCATGCTACCAATCAACTTTGGTGCATGACACCGTCGGAGGAAAAATATATTCCCACCGTCCCAACCAGCCCGATCTCACAAGGGTCGAACCACTCCAGTCGCCGTTCCATTGGGTTGAACCCAAAACTACTGTCTCCCCCATCATCTCCACCTCGACCAGTGCCAAACGCCCAAACCTGTTGCCTGACGAACTGACGAGGAGCCCGACGCGGCCGGCAAGAGGTGATACTCCAGATCCCCGCCGCCAGAACTCCATCAAAACGGCAGTCTCGTATGTCAAAGGGACAGAAAGACAGTCCGCCTGGAGCAATGCATAGGCCTGAAACTGGCTCTCCCTCTAACCCAATCAACGTAGACGACGACGCAGCCATGATCAATCAGTTGTACGCCGGAACGTACAACCTGGGAGATGACAATCCAACCACTCCCCAATCCGACACCTCATCCAATACCCAACAAAGATACCATGAAGGTGTTCGTAACAACGCTCCATACTGCCAAAACTGCGGTTGGAGCGATCATCGCACATACTATTGCGAAGCCTACTATTGTCCCGACTGTGACCGTCGTGCACCGAGACATAGTTTCAATTGGTGTCCCATCCGCAGGGAAGATGAGGATAGGATTCTGATGGAAGGATTACATGGAGATGTCAGCTATGACGACAGTTACAATATGGACGGCGAAGGTACTGAATTTTGGTGAAACTCGGAGCAAGTAAGGGGGTAATGTTACGATCTCTATTGGACATTTAAGGACTACTCATTTTTTTTTACTCATCGGTTATACCATCAGACCAATGACTCATTTCCTTCACGTACACTTCCGTTCCTCTCGCATTCACAGTACCTATTATAGTACTTAGTCCTCAACAGACGGACCTGCCCTAGATAGGACCTAACTCCTATCACCGATTCCTTTTCATTATAAATACCATGTAACAAGCAGTAGTATTCTCCAATACAATTCTACGCAGTTTACGCTTACAAAGCTAGACTCCTAAGATCAGACTTCTACTCAGAAGAAGACCAACTCTCGTTGGAAGACCTCCACTGAGAACTACGTTCTCGAACTTGTCTTTGGATGAGTCTCTCTATAAAAACCTCAACAAACCCTCAGACTTTGTTAAACACTTCGTGCGTAACACTACTCCTCCTAAACTATTTGCAAACTCACACAACTAGATACATGCTGACCAGTTAGCACATGTCAAGAAAGGATGCCTCACACAGACTTGTTAAGATATCCAATCAGATGGTAGGCAAATTGGAGGATCACACATAGGCTGGAACTCTATCATGTGCTTGTTCTCGAGTGGCCTTGAGACATTCACAGCCTTAGGGCATGATTTTTTCCACTGCCAAAATGTTCACATGAACTTCAACTCCAGCAATTGCTTGCCCTTCATTCAATCTACCTTTGGTACTCACCATCTTCTATTTGTAAACCATATAGCCACCCTTTGGAATGCTTTGGTAGAAAAAAAACCAGGACAAAGCAGGCCAATTCTTCTAATTATTTACTGTGAAGAACATTTTGAATTAGTCAAGTTGGACAACACATTAACATTTGGAGGACTCTTGCAGATCATAACTGAGGATAATGATGTCTCTGATAGTACTCAAGATATTTTGCAGTTGGCCTGCAATAGCAATATAAAACCAGCTGTCATCTTGTAGGATATGAGTGTTGACCCAATCCTTCTTTCTTCTCCACAGGCACTTCCTGGTTCGAGCTTATCTCCCACTATGGCTAGTACTACCAATGTGGGCTCTCTGCCCATGTTAGCACCTCACTCAGCCTCTCAAACCCTGCCAATACTTCCAGCCCAAGCCCATTCAACCAATGCAGCTAATCCACAGCAAACATTTATCCATGATCTGACAACTAATGATGGGGACCCTGGGCCGGAATCCATTTCCAAAAACATTCAATTAGTTGCTAGCCCACAGACTAGTACTAGTACACCCCTGCCAACAGCCATCAGCTCATTTTTTCCATCTCACAGCATGTGTTACGCTTGGAATGTGCAAGCCTGGGTTTCAAATACACAAGTGGTTTCTGATAAGCTTGTTGTGAACAAGTTTGAGACGTATTCTGATGATGAGGGTTTTGACTGATGAATACCAAGTTACACTGTTGAAGCATACAATTGCATTGGAGATAGTTGTTAGTTTTGGTGATTCTGCACCTTTGTGCTACCTATATATTTTCATTCCTTTCTATATCTATTCTTCTATCATTCACTATTGATTGTGTTCTCTATTATTTCACCTTTGTGGCTGCTTTGTTTACCTTTGTTTACAAAACTTCGGACAGTACTGCAGAGTCCAATGCTTCCTATTCTCTAGTTACTCACATTGAACTCTAGGTACTGTATACCTGTCATACTCTCTAATAATATAGTTACTCATATTGGACTCTAGTTCCAGTCCCTGATTGCTCTCAGCAAGTGGCTAGACACTTCCTTCAAGCTTTGTTCTTAATAATAGTAACTACAATACAGGCCTAGATATATAGTGTCTACTTTAGGGTAGGTGTTTGTGTTGAACAAACAAAGACGGGTGATAGCATAACAGGCAATGTGTGTGGGAAGTATAGGTAGATAGCGGGGTGTGGCTACTTGTAAGAGAAATAAAAGTCCATGGTGAATACAGTTCATAACATTACCCCCTTTTTAGGTTCAGACTGCTCCGCAGTCCCCTAGCTCGTCCACGTTGTATTGGGCATCTTCGTCAAGGTCGTTGTGCTCGTCATCCAATCCCCAAGTGTCTGCAACAAAGGGTAAGTTGCATTGCTGGTTGCACTCATTAGCTTGGTGTCCGGGCGCGTCCAATCCACATATAGAGCAGGTATGGTATCAACAGTAAATGGCATGATGGCCATATTCTTGACAGGCATAGCAACGTTGAATGCAAGGGCAATGGCATTGTTCAGAAGAGGATTGTAAATGGGTTGAATTGGAGTAGTCAGAGATGGGTGAGGGCCTTTTGCTCCTACGCTGAGAAGCCAGGGTAGCTCCTTCATTGCTCCTTGATGGCCTTCCAACCTGAGATGAGTTGTTGCTCAATGTGGGTATCAACCTCTTGGTCGATTCTCAAGAGCGATTCATGTGGGTGGGTGTACAACTCGAAGGGATGAGGAGTACTGGCTCTGGGCACTGACAGCGTAATTGGCGATTGCAACAAGGTGGAGGGAGTTGGAGGAGGGGTGTTGTTGGACGCGTAGGAATCTATATGACTTGCAATTCTTTTACTGTGTTGGCTTTGGGGACTATTGAGCTGGTTGCGAAGGAATAAGGTGGGGATGACGGAATGGGCGTGGGTGGAACAAGATCTGGCGGAGATGGGGGGGGATACTGCGGTGAGACTGGGGGGTGACAACCTGGAAAAGGGTGCCCCGTAGTCAAGGAAGGCTCAGCAAATTGGGGGGAGGGGAGGTGAGGTACCCTCGTTGGGCGAGAAGCTTCTTCATGTTGATGCATACCGTTTGGCCACCTAGGCATAGGAATGCTTTGACTGCTTCCTTCTCTCCACTCTCGCAATTCTTCCTCAAGCATGGTTCTAGGGATTCTATCTGCAAGTGTTCCATGAGCAAAGTCGCTCCAGTACTCAATACGGAATTGTTGTCCCGTGTAAGCTCATCTACCAACGAACCCAGTGAGACGGTGACTGCGTGTAGTTCATCAGCAACAAGAAGTGCGTTTTGCCAACAATGAAACGTGCCCAGTGGGTATGTGGCAGTGGGGCATATAATGTTAGACTGGTGAAATAGATAAAAGTAGGCATGCCTATCTGACATTAGTGCGGTGGCGTCAACGATGTTGGTTTGTTCACGAGTGAGGGTGAGGCGGTGTGCTCATTGTGCTTTGGTGAGCACTTGGGGTTCAGCAAGGTATGGGGGAAAACAAGGGGAATGGGTTTGTTGGTCAATGGGTGTGGTCTGAGACATGGTAGTTTTTGGTAAGTGGGTGTAGGAGGGAATGTTGTTTGTTTGTGTCATAGTTTGTGTCTCCTTTTATATCCGTTCAGGATCTCAGAAGCATTCTGTAGGTTTGCTTCTTCTTCCCAGGAGTTTTTGGCCGATGGGTAGTCCTTCCATTTGACTAAATACAGGTATCCTCTTCAGTTCTTTTTATTACGTAGAATTGCTTCTACTTTGTATTCTTCTTGGCCATTGATTATCTCTGCTGGTGGTCTGATATAGTTTTCTCCGTGGACTTTGGTTTGTTTGTACGGGGTTAAAAGAGCAACGTGGAGTATGGGATGGATTTTCCACGCATTTGGGAGTTTTAGTTGGTAGTCAACCGGCGATACTTTTTCAAGGATGATAAAGGGTCCTTCTTGTTTCCAATTGAACTTTATGTAGGGTGTTTCTTTCTTCTTTAGGTTAGTTGCTTCTAGCCAAACCTTTTGCCCAGTCGTAAATGTGGGTAACAGATGTTGTGAGTATTTTTGCATGCGTGCTCTCACTAGTTCATATGCTTGTAAGGCTATAGTTCTTGCTTCCAGAAAGCTGGATAGTCTTTTGCTTACAGCTGGTATGTTGGTTGTTATTGGTGTTGTGGGGAGATCCCTAGGATGGTATCCCATTATGAGGTAGGATGGTGATTTGTTCCGTGCCGAATGTGGTCTGTGATTGTGGCAGAATTCTGCTGTTGTGAGATATTCTGTCCAAGAGTGTGGTAAATTATTGCAGAAGATCCGCAAATACATTTTTATCTCCTGGTTTACCCATTCAGTTTCTCCATCAGATTGAGGGTGATATGCCATCAATAGATTAACTCCGGTTTTGCGTAATCTGGCCAGTTCCTTGGTCACTTCTGATGCAAACTGTGGTTTTCTATTGGATATGAGTTTGTCATGTAGTCCAAATCTTTTAAACACGTGTTGCTGAAATAATTTAGCCGTTCCTAATGCGTCAATAGTTTTCCTGCATGGTGATAGTATTACCCCCTTTGTAAGGCCGTGGTCCACCACGACCATGAGACTGTCATAGCCGTTGCTTTCTGGCAGATCCGTGATGAAATCAACGGAAAGGTTTTTGAATGGTTCTGTCATTTTTGGGCCTAAAATTGGTTGAATAGGTATTTTGATCGGGTTGGTAATTGCCTTGCTTTGTTGGCATGCGGCACACCCTGCAACATAATCTTTGATCATTTGTGTCATACCTGGCCAATAGTAATATTTTATTACTAATTGGGTTGTTTTCAGTTGTCCAGGGTGCCTGGCTGTTATCAAATTGTGCTGTTGTTGAATGCATGCTCTTCTCTTGGTTCCTGTGGGAATGTAACGGTGACCTTTGTAAAACACGTCATCATCTTTGATGGTCCAATCTTTGGGATCTGAGTGCATCAGTTATTTTTCCCCCTTGCGTAAACTGTTTTGTATACGTGTGAAAAATGGATCTGTGGTTGCTACTGCGGCAAAGACAGTTTTTGGGAGTAGTGGTGTGTCCTGTTTTTTATCTTCTGTGTATAGATCTGGTCTTGTGGACAGATTGTCTGGAATTGTCATTTGTGTTCCTGGTACGTGTTTCAGGGTATAATTGTATTGTGAGAGTAGGAGTTGCCAGTGTCTCTGCCATGGCATCAATTTTCTGGCTTCTTGCCAGTACGTGAGATTTTTATGGTCCTTTAATATTTGGTAGTTCTTTTTGGCTGGGGATAACATTTTGGAGAAGAAGGCACATGGATGCCATACTCCATTGTCATCTGGTTGGTTTAACACCGCTCCAGTTGCGTGTTTGGACGTGTCTGCTGTGATTTGTGATGGTTTATTCAGATCAGGTATCTGAGTGACCGGCAATTTGCTAAAGCGGTGTTTCAGCAGCGCAAATGCGTCTTCTTTGGCCTTTGTCCAGTTCCAAGTTTTTCCTTTTTCCAGTAGGGCATTGAGCGGTTTTGTGAGTTCAGAGTAGTGGCCAATGAATTTGCGGTAGAAGTTGCCAAATCTGAGGAACTTCTGCACCTCATGGACGTTAGTTGGTGTAGGCCAATTTTGGATTCCGGCCAGCTTTACTGGGTCCATTTGCACCTAGTTGTGACGAACAATCATGCCGAGATATTCTATTTTGGCTACATCAAATGTGCATTTTTCTAGTTTTAGGTATAGGTCGTTTTTGCATAGGCGTTGTAATACCCTTTTTGTCCGTAGGATATGTTCTTTTGGTTCCTTGCTGAATATGAGCATATTGTCCATGTATATGATAAGCCATCCTTTGTCTATCATGTCCGCAAAGAGGTCATTCATCATGCGTTGGAAGGTGGCCAGGGAGTTGCACATGCCAAAGAACATTGCTGTGGGTTCAAAAAGTCCTTTTCTGGTTTTGAACACCACTTTCCATTCATCTCCTTCCTTTATCCTGACATTGTTATATCCCCAACGTAGATCTAATTTTGTGAAATGTGACGTTCCAAGGAGTTTGTCTATGAGTTCGGGGATCATGGGTAGTGGGTAGGGATCTCAGATTGTTTGTTCATTAAGCTGTTGATAGGCCTGGCATAGTCGCAAAGATCTGTCCTTCTTGTTTATGTAAATGAAGGGGGAAGCCATCGGAGATTTGCTTGGTCTGATATATCCTTTTTGGAGGTTGTCGTTAAGAAATTCTTCGAGTGCTGTGTTTTCCTTTGGTGATAAAGGGTAGATTTAACAATCTTTTGGTTTGAACTCTGGTTTTAGGTTTATGGCGTGATTGTAAATCCTTCTTTTGGGTAGTCTTTCCGAAGCCTTTTTGTCAAAGACCTGTGCAAACTCTTTGTAGGTTTTGGGTAGTTCTGTTATCTTTTTCCCAACATTGTTCTGGATGGCTAACTCCATTGCAGTGTTGGTTTTCGCAAAGATCCGTGTTTCATGTATGTAGTTGATCAATAGTTCCGGTTGATCAATTGTGATGGTGCAAATCATGGATTGGTCGGAGTGTGATTGGATGGTGCAGATGGCGTGTTAGGTATCCACGCTTTTTGATGTCCAGTCTATTGTGGGGTTAACTTTGTGGAGCCACGGGTATCCTAGGAGAATGTCTTCTCCTCCTAATCTGGTGATGAGGAATTTGCACATGGCATTCCTTCCTCCTGCTTCAATTCGTTGATATGTGTAGTGGGTGATTCTTCCTCCGTTGCTAATGGTTCCATCTACGTTTTTGCACATGATGGGTGTTTCCAGTTTGTTAAGTGGTAGGCAATGCTTGATTGCAAATTTTGCGTCCATAAAGTCGTCTGTCGCTCCCGAGTCTATTAATGCTTTTGTTCCAATGGTTTTTTGTCGTAATGTGGTGTCAATTTGTAATGAGTTTGAATTGATTGTGGCTATTGTTACAACGGCTATTTTGGACGGTACCAACATTAGTGTGGGTCGTCCTTTCAAAAACCCTCTTTTTCTAATTCATCAATGGTGCTGGCTCAATCTGCTTCATTGAGTTCTCTCCACATTTTGAGGATGTGAGAAATCCCTTTTCCATCTTCCACTACCATTTCTGTTTCATCTTTTTCAATTTCTGCCGTTCTAATCCTTCGGTCTGATTGTTTTCCTTTCTTTTTTTCCGGACAAAACCGTTGTCATGCACCAAAATTGATTGGTAGCATGGACAGGTGTCAAGAATGAAGCGAATATTCAAAAAGACTTGCCTTTGCGCCACACAGGCACAGTGCCACGTGGAATAGTAATTAATATTGCCTTTTTCAAATCTGTGGCTGATCAGCACCACCTCTATTAGGCAATTCAGTCACACTCACCTTTGCTTTTCCATTTGGTACTTTCCGCATTTCGGTATTTCGGCAAATTTTCGCATCGCCACTGGCTACACATTGCATTGTGCCCTCGTTTTTGTCGTTTCCTTCACTCCCCTTCCTTTTCTTAGCCCCACCATGGGCCCCTTCCTCTCCTTTTTATTCTCATCTGATGGTCATTTCTGGATCCCCATTTTAGTTCACCTACTTGTCACCTCCACCCTCCTCCTCCTCATCTTCTTTGCTCCCCCACCATTTCTGATGTCACCACTTCCTATCCGCTTCCATTGCCAATCCGTCAACTACCACGTGCCAATGCTGATATCAGCAAAGCCCCGGCGGCCGGTCCAAATAGGGCAACAGGTCCATCTTCATGACGTCAATCTGCCATCATATACCATCAAAACATTGGTCGCTCATCTTGCCTGGTTGGAGCGTGGGTGGGTAGTTTTTGAGCTGGAGAAGGTTTATCCCCTTGCGTCGCCCATGTTCATTGCTGTCCCATTCACTTGGGTACATTTATCTTTCGTCCATCCTCTTTGCTACAGCTACACCTACCACACGCTGCCTGGGACTCACTTGTTCCAAACTGGAACTACTCCCCTCCCTCCCTCGCTTGACCAGGTGGTCCAGTACAACCAGTCCATTGGTAAAGCCATGGAACTGTCGGATTTGGACTAGGTGGTGGACCGGTGGCTCCAGTTTCTTTTTCTTCAGCAGAACATTCATTTACAGTGCAATTATTTTGATTTTTGAATCATTTTATGGACACATATTTTTTTAGAATGCCTGACTGACAATAAAGGAACTGTGTTGATACTGATATTGTTTTTTTTTCTTTACACTCTTTTTACTACATCTTCTTATGACATCACGATTTTCTTGCTCTTCTTTCTTATTGGACTTTATTTTTATGACTGTACAAACCTGTACCATTACTTACATAGCATTCATTGTTCTGTCTCTTTCTTTCCCTTATTTTGACAATCTTATCCTGTACCAACTACGCAGGATTCGTCAGCGTACATTCCTTCCTTCATGTTCTTTCTCATTCTTTTTGCACAGCTATACTGTGCATAGCCTACCTTTCTTTTCACTATATAAACCCCTGTATTTTACCTTGTAAAAAAAACAAAGCACTCGATTCCAGACTTCTTCTCCAATCTTAAGTCCACTTCTTACTGCTACTTGTGATCCAGTATGGTCACAACACTTCCCACTGCTACCACTGATAACTGCTGTCATTGTCACTTGTCACTTTTGAAGTCTTTATCATCCCTTTTGATTAGACTCCTTCTGAGCACTACAGTTTGTGCGTCAGGAGCCTGCTATCACTGGGAACCTCGTTACCTCTTCATCCTTGTCGTTCTCAAACCTACCTTGTGCTACAATTAGCAAGATAGTGCTTATCTATACTTGTTACTAAGCCCCTATCATCTATAAATTCAACTATCCCTCCTCCTCAAAAACCCACACCCATACATCTCTGGGTTTTACTTTGAAGGATCTTCATACATACCACCCCACGAACAACCAGAGCACCCACTGTTCTAGGAGGCAAAGCCCATAAACAAGTTCCGTGGAATCTGGGAGGATTGTTTGTTAGTTTGTTTTTGTGTGTGGTTTTCTAACAACAGTTCTCATCATCGACACCGTGAGATGTGTCCCTGTTCTTTGCATATAAAGCATTGCCCTTCTTTTTTGAGCAAGTCTTCTTCATCTTTGGTTAAACATTTTGCCGAGGATGATTGGCTTCTTCCTCTCTTCTCTTCTTTCTTCTTCTCTCCCTTCTTTCCCCATTTTCCTTTGGTGATGCTGTTTGAGTTTGTCCAGTTGGCGTCTAGGCCAGCAACGGTGCTCATCCACCCTGCAATATTTTTGGGTTGTGTGGAGGAGTTGAGTACATTTTGAAGGAGGTATGGGTGTATGGAACTTTTGTACACCATGATTAGTCCTTCGTCATTTAAGCCGCTCTTTCCTGCTTCTACCATGAAACGGGAGTTGAACTTTACTGCCGTTTCTCCTGTTTCCATTTTCATCGTCATGAGGGCCGCACTGGCTGCCCCTTTTACATCCGCATGAATGTCCCATTAAAGTTGGTTTCAAAGTCCGCCCATTTTGGGTATTTGCCTGATCCTGTGTATTCCGTTAATTTGGTTTCTTTCCATGCTAGGGCTGCTTCTTCTTTCATGTGGGAAAGTGCTTCAAAGACCTTTTTTTTGTCTGAGTCATAGATGGCGTTGTTTACATCAAAATATGCTTTGGCTGATAACATCCATCTGTTTGCTCTGTCGGGCATTCCATCAAAATTGTCTATTTGTCCGAACTTAGTGGGTTTGGATGCTGTAGTGTTAGACATGGTGAGTGTCAGTGGAAGTGGAGATGGATTGGGTGCTGTGGGAAGTATCTGTGGTGTGGGAGGTGGTATTGGTTCACCTTGCGCCGCATATTCTACAAAGTTGTTTTTGTTGTAGATGTCTTCTATGACTACTAGAGGATCGTGTTGTGATGTGGGTATTAGCTGTGTGTGGCTTTCTGCGTAATACTGTAGCCAACATGTTCTGGCTTCGTAGAAAGTGTCCGCTTGTTCTCTGGTGTGGAGTCGGGTTACGTCTGGTTGGGGAAAGGGAGGTGGTGCTGCTGTCCTTCCTTGTTGGGATAATGTTGGTGGTGTTGCTGTCTGTGTTGGTTCTGCTCTGGTTTGTGCCCTGGTGGTGGGTCTTCTTCCTTGCAACATTTTGTTGTCTTTTTTGTCCCTTCACTATAAAGTGTGGGATATGGATGGAATATGATTGTTTTGTTACGCTTTGAATGTGCAAGCCTGGTAACACTGGGTCTCAAATACACAAGTGGTTTCTGATAAGCTTGTTGTGAACAAGTTTGAGATGTACTCAGATGATGAGGGTTTTGACTGATGAATACCAAGTTACGCTGTTGAAGCATACAATTGTATTGGAGATAGTAACTACAATTCAGGCCTAGATATATAGTGTCTACTTTAGGGTAGGTGTTTGTGTTGAACAAACAAAGACGGGTGATACCGTAACAGGCAATGTGTGTGGGAAGTATAGGTAGGTAGCGGAGTGTAGCTACTTGTAAGAGAAATAAAAGTCCATGGTGAATACAGTTTGTAACAGCATGTCAGCTGGTAGTATGCACACAATTCCGGCTGTCACTTCTCCAGAATTAAAGGGAGAAATATCAAGGGATCTTGATATCAACATCCTGCATGGATGACTTCCTAAGGTGAACACACTCAGATTAACACGTTCACAGCAGCTTTTCCTTGTTCACACCAACATTGACCCTTGTGCACTGGTTATTTCATCCAAAACCAAGTTTTTCTTCTTTATGTGTAACAGCCAAGAGTTAGTTACTCTGGCGCACAACTAGAACACACTATAGAGATAATAATGAGGGAATGGTTACCCCTTAGGCTTTCAACAAGTTAGTTGTGAGGATACAACAGGAGGACTCGCTGAGGAGTCTCCTGGATCTATTGGGGTATATATACTAATGCAGAGTGTTTGTACTTATGTACTGTATAGTTGATAAAAGCAGTGGCTGATGATGTCAGAGGGCATAGCCCGTATGACCAGCTCCACTGCGTGAGAGACTTATAGCTAAAATAAGAAGTAAGGCAGTGCAGCGCGAGAAAGAGGAGTTTGAACCAAAAAGAGAAAGTGCCGTATGGCACAGTGTGTGAAAACTTCAGTAAAGGTTAAAGAGGAGAATGAAAATTAAAGGTCCAAAAATGTGTTATGGTAATATTATGGACGTGCAACTCAAGTTCAAGTGGACCACCTCTAGCATGACTGCAAAAAAATAGGTGCAAGTATTGAATGTTTACAATATGCAGCTCAAATTACAGTTTGACAGGACTTGCCCCAATATACTAAACACTTCCTGCTGAAGATTCCACAGACACTCTTGGACAAGCTTGGAGAAGTTGAATGTGTTATAATTGAGCGGGTAAAATCTGGTCACTATGCCTGTAAGTTTCCCCAGAGTCTATTGAATTTAGCCATGTGACCTCACATAGCCACCTGACCACAGGGAGTGCATAAAAGCAAAGTGGACCAGCTGGGGATTAAACCCAGGACCTCTGCCTATATATGGTGGTGCTCTACCCAACTGAGCTACCAGCCCTTATACTAATATCAACTCATGATGTACATTGTCTAACAAGGCTAACAGGCTTTGACCTTGACTATTCCAACAGAGTCTTCACAAAACCAACCTTTTCCATTTTTCATCTGTTTCATGTGTAGCCCAAAATGAACATGAAGAGTTCTGGAGAAAGCATTGTCTTGTTATCTCTCTTGTGAAGCCAGACTCATTCAAGAAAGTGGTCTATTGCTCTGATATTGTGCCAGTAAAACCTAGCAGACCAGCAAACAAACACCCTTCTTGGCCTCAGCCTCAAGGAACCAGAATTTTCACCAATGGATCACATTTCCAACCCCTTGTCTTCTAGTCTACAATCTGCGAGATGTACGAGAGAGTGGTCATCCAAAAGAGTAGTGGCATGAACCTTGCAATCTAAAACAAAGGGGACGGTGGTCTCAAATGCCATGTGCAAGCCATATTGTGTTGGTTATTTCACTTAGGTCCGCTCACGTGGTTTTTGTGGCAACACAGGAGCAGCAGTAGTGCAGTAATAGTGAATGCAATGAAGATTGTAGCCACATTGAAAACTCTCATAGTTATAATAACATTCAACAACTGAGCAGCAAGTCAAACATGCATATAGGACTTAGCATTACTTTACAGACAGCACAAGTTCACTGACTTCTGACTTGGCAAAACTTTGATCACTTAATTGTATTATTTTTACTGAAAAAGGAATTGCCCAACCTTCAGAAGACTAGATTTATGGCCATTGGCTATTCTTGCTGGGATCCATATTTACTCAATCCAATAAAGTGTTTTCCAAACTTTACTCCAATGCCTTTTGACCCATTCTCACTACATATTCCATTGCAAACTACAACTGTAACATATACTAATTTTGTTGTGATTATTAGGTTCTGCTTGCTGACTAACAAGCTTCACCAAATTCTGCTAAGTCCTGACTCACATTTGTGGGGATGTCATGTGTCTTGCCAAAGTGAGGTCCGCATGTACCAGCCAGTTGGTTGCGAGCCTACATATTTACCAGTCCTTTTGCAAGCTCACAAATTTTCTGATTTATTAATCATTGAGTCCAAGCTTGCGTTTAGTACTGGTCACGAGCCTACAAAAACATTGCACTACAGTGGCAGAGCCACCAGTTGGAACTTGTGGAGTATGAAGCCCATGCTAAAATGCTCACCATGCACATCAAAGAGTTACCAAGCGGTGATGTTCTTTTTGCTTATTTGACTCTCTGACATTGAGCCTGCTAATGCCTGACTTTGTTGTTGTCCACAAAGGCCTTAAATATTTGAGGATTGACTGCTTGTGTCAGTCTGCTTGTGAGACAATGCTAAATTATAACAAAACAAGACCTATCTCTGACTGCACTTGCAGGGAGTAAGAGGTATGGTGAATCTTGAGATCTATAGGTGCTAGAGATTATAGCAAGTCAAGGATGAAGAGTAGACTCAAGGTTTTGCTAAGGAGTAAAGCGGGTAATTCAAGTAATAAAAAGCTAAAGAATTGTACATGGATATGTAGGATTATTATAGCTAACTGTCTATCTCTCCAGACCAAAAGAGAAATAAAGAAAAGTGGTCTGAGGATGGGACTAACCAATAAGAAAAGAATAACTATTGTACAACTTAAAAGATTAATAAGCAGGTGAGAATGTGCTAATAATAGGTTTGTCAGGCATGTTCAGGAACTATATCCTCATAATAAGGTATGATCCTGACTAAAGCCTCTATTAATATATCCAGGCACTAATGGGACTAGGAGCTGGTTAGCAAGATCTCAGCCATTAGCCCTTACCCATTGTGCTGGTTGGCTGGCTGTACTTGTAACAACCTAGAGTTAGTTACTCTGGTGCACAACTCAGACAAGCAAAAAAGAGAATACCAATCAACAGTATGTACCATTTGACAAAACCGGATAAACCCGGTCTCTGCCAAAGCAGCCATTGTTCTTCATGGAGCATAGCCACCACTGCATGGAGTCACCATTGTTCTCCTAGGAGCACAATTGTACTCCTAGGAGTCATTATACTGTAGCGAGTAGCACCTCCGACTATAAGTAGTAGGGGGTTTAGTATAGGAATACCTCAGTTGTTTCTATAGCCTCTCGGGCAGCGGCTGAGGTATGTTACATTACATTTATTAGAGACCACCTTAAACTAACATCTATTGTAGTTTCACTTAGGTAAATAATACAGTTGTTTCTATGGCCTCTTGGGCAGTGGCTGAGTTTTACTTAGTTTTATTACCGTTGACCAGTCAGAGAGTAATGAGAGGGAGTGGTTACCCCTTAGATAGGACCAAGTTAGTTGTGGGTAAACAACAGGAGGACTCACTGAGGAGTCTCCTGGATCAATTGAGGTTTATATACTACAGCGTGTTTGTACTAATGTACTATACAGTTTGATGAAAGCAATGGCTGATGATGTCAGAGGGCGCAGCCCGTGTGACCAGCTTCACTGCATGAGAAACTTGTAAATAAAGTAATAAAACTAAGTGAAATGTCACGACTTGAACCAGAAGCGCTAGTCTAAGCGCTAAGTTTCTTTTTCTTTTTCTTTTACATCTGATCACATGACAGATAAGATATGTTAAGCTGCTGCTTTAGCGCGGATAACATAATACGTAGTTATATCAGATCACGTGACCACCACGTGACACGAGTCTAGAATTATTACAAAGAACATCAGTCAGCGCCTCATGGCTACTGCATGTTAGCTCAGTCAGCGCCTCATGGCTGACTTTCAGAAACATATATATAGTAGACCATCATGTACATACTTTCCTCAGTTGTTGATTAATTCTCAATCGCTACTTGAAAACGCTACTTGTTTGATTTAAGCTTTTATCCCTCCGTCAACTCGGTATAGGGGATAGAGGTTTTACACAATCAACAACTGCTACAAGTACCGTTTATGAACTTAACAGCAACAATCCTAACAACCATCATCGTCACCATCATCATCATCCTACTAATCCTAACCCTACTCAAACACTCAACCCAAACTACCACTACTCTTCCACTCCATCACATCCCTACTCGCCCCGACACCATCTTATCTTTCTTTCCCGCCAACGTATCACCTTCCTCATCCCAAGACTCCTTCGTAACCATCCCCCTATAAATACATTTATATCACTATAATCTCTTTGGTGTGGAACCATTGGGATTTTCTCGGTTTTACCTAGTTTCATTTTCGATTTCCTCTGACCAGGCCGCGCATTTGCGTCCGCCAGTCGGGAGAAGGACTGAAAGCTTAATAAGCTGGTCACATTGGGACAACCGTTCGGACCCCAATTTATCACTATACTTTTTACATAAAATTCATAAAATACAAAAATAGTTACCATACCTACATAGTCAGTAGTGGGCTGAAGAGGACCACTTTGACTCAAAGAGAATAGATAGACTACTAGGATCTTAGAAAGCGGTGTATCGATCCAGCTTATCACTGGTGAACTCCTTTCTATGCTTAGTAGAGACTTTTACATTTGGATCGGAGAGCAACACATTTACTCTCAAGATTACGTATTCAAAGGGAAATTCCCTTTACCAGAAATAGAACCCATCAGAATACCATCCCCTTTAATCAAATCCGAAACTCCCCCTCCTCCCCAACTCACGTTTAATGTCCAACCTAGAATATCGCGATCTGCCCGAGCCATCCAACAGCACGGACAGCGCATTTACCAGGGACATGATGGACGCATTACCCAGAACAGACACTCCCCCCCCGAAAGAAGCGCGATTGGAAGCATACGTAAAACAAGAAGTAGAAAAGGCGATAAGACAAACGCAAATGCATTACCAATCGCAGCTAGACGAGGCACTCGAAGAAGTGAGCGTCTTGCAAAGAAAACTAAAGAAACAGATACCGCCACCTCCAGAAAAGGTGGAAAGAAGTAGAACGGCACTGGAGAAACCCGAGAACTTCTCCGGAGATAAGAAAAAGTACAGGGCCTTTAGAGAGTCCTTATTACTGCATTTCGAAGATGATGCCGTATATTTCAAAGATGATCGAAAGAAGATAAGCTTTGTGCTATCTTTTATGAAAGAAGGAGAAGCCGCGGCCTTCCGGACCGATTGGCTAGAGAACCGAGTCGATGCCCAACAGTTGGGGCTCGATATTACAAACACGTACGGAAGTTGGCCGTATTTTGCAGACAAAATGGAAGAAAGGTTCAAGGACAGTTTTGAAAAAGAAACTGCCAAGAACGAAATACTGACCCTGAGACAGGGCAATGAAACCGCCCAAGCCTTCTTTGAAAGGTTTGAAGAGAAGAAAAGATGGGCGGGATACACAAATAGAATAAATGAAGAGTTCCTAGTATCTTTACTCAGAAGGAATATGAACAAGCCGCTAGTAGATAGGGTGATCTACGGTGGGCACATTCCAAGAGATTACCAAGAATGGAAAAGGGAACTCATCAGAATAGACTATATTTGGAGAGAGAGAGAAAAAGAGAAAAAAGGTTCCGATACTGGGAAAAAACCCTATTCGGAACAAAAGAAAGAAGGAGAGAAGAAGAAAGACGGAACCGGATATACCTATACCGGTAGCGGAGAAAGAATGGAGGTAGATAAAGCAAAGTTCCGCACGGAGGGACGATGCTACCGATGTGGAGAAAAGGGACATAGAAGCTTCGAGTGCAAAGACGCACAAAAAAGGAAGCCACAATTTAATGTCCGAGAGTTCTTAGAAAAGATGACGAAAGAGGAAAGGGAAAAACTCCTTGAGGGTTTTTAAAGAGGCCAGCGGTACCGCATCGACCGACTGAGCCTAAAGACGTTTCGAATCGGTTTCTTCCTTTGACAGTAGATACATGTGACTCAGAATTGTTAAGCTGCTGCTTTAGCGCGGATAACAATAAAATTATTTCCACTCAGACAAAGAAAGAAATCCGAAACGAAAAAGATGCAGCTAGAGTAAAAGCGGCGCAGAGTGATAAGACATCCGCAGTTACGACGGCGGGCAAATCACTAAAAAGCGCAGCATTTACGATAGAACCTAAGATTCCTACACCCGATGCGGCGAACTCTACGGAGGAAAACGCAGCAGAGACTGTAGAAGAAAGGTCAGGAACCCCTTTAAAAAAACCTAGAACAGAAGTTTGGACCCCAGAGTGGGTAGTAGATAGGCTAAGAGACCAAAAGGAAGAAAGATCCATTGGGATTCTAAGTGCCTGGACACATAAAAAGAGAGCGAGAGAAGTAACCCGGGAAACGATAAAGGAAATCAACCGGTTACCAAAGGTAGAAGCTATACAAGCGATCATAGAAATTGCCTCCCCAAAAAAGTACATTAGGGGCACCCAAGGCAATCAAATGAACGTAAAATGTAAGCTTACTACATTAGATACTCTCCAATCAGAAATAGTCGAAGCACTATTGGACAGTGGATGCACGGGGAGTTGCATCGACTCCCAATTTGTGAAAGACAAAAGATATGAGACAAGGAAGATACCGAGACCTATTCCAGTCTATAATGCAGATGGAACTCTTAATAAAAACGGAGCCATCAATGAATTTGTAATACTGCTCATGGAAATCGACGGACACGTCGAGAAGATACATCTTGCCGTAACCAATCTGGGTAACGGAAAAATGTTTCTAGGGCATGAGTGGTTGAACAAACATAATCCTAAAATAGACTGGAAAGAATCGAAGTTGACCTTTGAAAGGTGTCCTGAAGAATGTAGACCGAGAATCCGAATCTCTGATCCAGAGGAGGATCCGGAAATATTCTTTGAGGAACTACGAGAAGATGAGAGGATGATACAGGTGAATCTCCATAATTTTGAAGATGCCACGATCGACGATCAATATTACCGTATTAGAGCCCAAGGCACAATGGCACAGAAGCTAGCAGAAGCCGCAGGCAAAGATCGAAAAGAAGGAGGATTCGAAAAGATAGTGCCAAAACACCTTCATCAATACAAAGACGTATTTGACAAAAAGGAGTTTGACACATTACCTGAAAGAAGACAATGGGATCACGCAATCGAACTAATACCGGGAGATCACTCCCTAGATTGCAAGATCTATCCATTGGCAAGAGGAGAGCAAGAAGAACTAGATGCGTTCCTAAAAGAGAATCTGGAATCGGGACGGATAAGACCATCGAAGTCCCCATTCGCATCACCATTCTTCTTCATTAAAAAGAAAGACGGGAAGTTGAGACCAGTTCAAGATTATAGGAAGCTAAACGATATCACCATCAAAAATAGATATCCACTTCCGTTGATCGGGGAACTAGTAGACAAATTGAGTGGGGCCAAATACTTCACAAAGTTGGATGTAAGATGGGGATATAATAACATCCGAATGAGAGAAGGAGATGAGCATAAAGCGGCGTTTAGGACAAATCGGGGATTATTCGAACCACTAGTCATGTTCTTCGGACTGACAAACTCCCCCGCCACGTTCCAAATGATGATGAACACGCTTTTTAGAGAGTTGATAGATGAAGGATTAGTAATCATATATCTAGATGATATCATGATATTCACAAAGGATATAGAAACGCACCGAGCAACGACGCGACGTGTGTTAGAAATCCTGAGAAAAAATCATCTCTATCTTAAACCAGAAAAATGCGATTTCGAACAGACAAAAGTAGAATACCTGGGACTGATCATCTCAGAAAACGAAATTCGCATGGATCCGGTGAAAGTAGAAGGAATTAGCAAATGGCCAGAATGCAAAAATAAGAAAGACATACAAGCATTCTTGGGATTTGTAAATTTCTATCGAAGGTTCATAGAGGGCTTCGGGGAAGTAGCCAAACCATTGACCAAGTTAACGGGAAAAGAGGACTTCATTTGGGGAAATGAACAACAAGAAGCATTTAACACATTAAAACAACGTGTAGCTTCAGCCCCGGTGTTAGCTCTCCCAGTACCACATGGCCAATACAAAGTAGAAGCAGATAGTAGTGACTTCGCTATGGGTGCTGTCTTATCACAAAGACAAAAAGATGACTGGAAGCCAATTGCATATCTCTCCAAAGCGTTAAACCCCACAGAACGCAATTACGAGATCTATGACAAAGAACTTCTTGCCATCATGACGGCACTTAACGAATGGAGACATTACTTAATAGACGCAGAAGAGGAATTTGAAATATGGACAGATCATCAAAATCTGCTGTATTTCAAAGAACCCAAGAAGTTGAACAGGAGACAGGCGCGGTGGATGACAGAGTTGAGCCAGTATCATTTCACGATACATCATATGCCAGGAAGGAAGCATATAAAAGCAGATCTTCTCTCAAGGCGATCAGATCATAACAAAGGAGAAAACGACAACGAAGACGTCATACTACTGGATGAGAAACTATTTGTAAGAATGACTCTCTCTCCGGAACAAAGACAAGAGATCGCAGACAGTCAAGAGAAAGAATTGGAGATTTCAAAGTGGATTACAAAAAGAAAGGGAAATGTAGATGAGTTGATAAAAAAGATGAAAGGAAAGATAGAGAGGAGAGAGGATGGTTGGCTAGACGAAGACGGTTGCATAGTATTCAAAGGCAGGATCTATGTACCGAAGGATGCCGCGTTAAGGGAAGAAATTATCCGACGAAACCACGACTCTGTTATTGCAGGCCATCCAGGAAGATATAAGACAAAGGAGCTAATTACTCGACAATACTGGTGGCCCTATATGGACAGAGATATCACGAGATACGTAGATGGATGCGAAGTCTGCCAAAGAACCAAAACAGACCACAAAAAGAAAGCAGCACCGCTTCATCCAAATGAGATCCCGGATAAACCTTGGCAGATCATATCAGTAGATCTGATCGGACCGCTACCAGAATCAAATGGATATAACATGATAATGGTAGTAGTAGATCGGTTTACAAAAATGATCAAGGTAATTCCCACGCAGATGGAGCTCACATCAGAAGGAGTGGCACGACTATTTAGAGATCATGTATTCAGGAACCATGGCATACCCGAAAAGATCATCTCAGATCGGGGACCGCAATTCGTTTCGAAATTCATGAAAGATCTACATACACTCCTTCAGATAAAAGCGAACCCATCAACGGCTTGGCATCCACAAACGGATGGACAGACGGAGAGAATCAATCAAGAGATAGAACAGTATCTCAGAATCTTCGTAAACCACAAACAAGATGATTGGGCAGAATGGCTTACCCTAGCAGAATTCTCTTACAATAACAAACAACATTCTGCGACGGGATATAGCCCGTTCTACCTGAATCATGGACATCATCCGAGAACACAGGAAGTAGTGAAAGTGGGGGTAAAGAACGAAAACGCAGAAGATTTCGTAAAGAGAATGACAGAAACAAGGAAGAGAGCAGAAAAGTCGCTGCAAAAGGCAGCTGAACAGATGAAGAAGCAGTACGATAAGAAGAAAAGAGAAGCAGTAGAATATAGAGTAGGAGATAAGGTGTACGTAGAAGCGACCAATATCTCAACAGATCGACCAGCTAAGAAACTGGACGACAAGAGACACGGTCCGTTTGAAATACTGGAAAAAATAGGCGAATCGGCATATAAATTAACGCTACCACCGACATGGCGACCTATTCATCCAGTTTTCAACGAGATAAAGCTTACACCGTACAAAGAACCACAATTCCCTTCCCAACAGAAACCTAAACCAATACCGCCGATAATAGTGGACGGACAAGAAGAATACGAAGTCGAAGAAGTTCTAGACTCACGTCTAAAAAAGGGGAAATTGGAATACTTAGTACACTGGAAGAACTATCCAAAAGAGGAACGCACGTGGGAACCCGAACAACATCTAAACAACTCACCCGATAAAGTAAAAACATTCCACGATAACAACCCTAGTGCACCCCGACGGATCCGATTTCAATTACATTTCCAACCCTTCGAAAACTTCACAACAACTAGAGTCCGAAAACAACTGTTCAATTGGGAAAACGGAAAGATGGACCCCTACTTTCGGGACGAAAGTCCTAAGGAGGGGGTAATGTCACGACTTGAACCAGAAGCGCTAGTCTAAGCGCTAAGTTTCTTTTTCTTTTTCTTTTACATCTGATCACATGACAGATAAGATATGTTAAGCTGCTGCTTTAGCGCGGATAACATAATACGTAGTTATATCAGATCACGTGACCACCACGTGACACGAGTCTAGAATTATTACAAAGAACATCAGTCAGCGCCTCATGGCTACTGCATGTTAGCTCAGTCAGCGCCTCATGGCTGACTTTCAGAAACATATATATAGTAGACCATCATGTACATACTTTCCTCAGTTGTTGATTAATTCTCAATCGCTACTTGAAAACGCTACTTGTTTGATTTAAGCTTTTATCCCTCCGTCAACTCGGTATAGGGGATAGAGGTTTTACATGAAACTTAGCCGCTGCCCAAGAGGCCATAGAAACAACTGTATTATTTACCTAAGTGAAACTACAATAGATGTTAGTTTAAGGTGGTCTCTAATAAATTTAATGTAACATACCTCAGCCGCTGCCCGAGAGGCTATAGAAACAACTGAGGTATTCCTATACTAAACCCCCTACTACTTATAGTCGGAGGTGCTACTCGCTACAGTATAATGACTCCTAGGAGTACAATTGTGCTCCTAGGAGAACAATGGTGACTCCATGCAGTGGTGGCTATGCTCCATGAAGAACAATGGCTGCTTTGGCAGAGACCGGGTTTATCCGGTTTTGTCATAAAGAAGTGCGAGAAGGTAGAGTTTGAACAAAGGAAAGTGCCGTATGGCACAGTGTGTGAAAACTACAAAAGACAGTTAAAGAGGAGAATGGAAATTAAAGGTCCGAAAATTGTGTATCATAACAGTACTACCCATTCTCTGATCTGCAATATGGAGTGGTATTGACAGTTAAGAAAACCCGTTAGGGCAATGAGAAGGAGAATAGCAAATGACACCCTCCAGCCCTAAGGCCAGAGGTGTAACAGGAAAAGTGTTTTGAAAACCAAGACATAAAAGCAAAGAAGTAAGAAAAAGTAAATAGTCCTCACACCACTGAGACTTCAAGTTCCAAGTCTGCTGATGTGGTTTAAAGCAGCTCACTGGTCATTTCATTCTTGCTAGCTACATCTTTGTATTTGTATATGCCCCTCTTATTGTCCCCATCAAAAGAATTGACATGGTTTTGCTGTGGCTCTATTGACCCGCAAGGATAGTTTGAATACTTACATATTAGACAGGTTGCATCTCACTGCTCAGTGCCGGACATCAATGTCGCGGTCAACGCTTATGTAATTTACTAATGTTCCTCTCAAAATCAGTCACAACGAAGACCAAAGAGACGTTTGTGAATTAGAGGAACGGATTACATCAATGCTACTACAATGCACTGAATGCAAAATTGTTCCGAATCGTATCAATAAACCCAACAGTGACCTTTCGCTCAATCCCGCTAACGAACCGCTTAGAGGTTAACGTTGACCGGACTGCAACCAATGTTGATAATACCATCCTGCTCATAGATGGAATTTCAGTCCGAGAACAATGAAGCTGTAGTATGGTACTCACGTATTGGTTGTTAGTGCAGCATACAGGCTCAGATTTGCAGCTAGACCCTCCACCGACTCCAACAGCAGTAATAGGACTGCATTTGAAGCCAATTTGGCCAGTAATCTGACTAACATCGAGTTTTAAGAGTGTAGCGAAGGGCTTAGGATCGAAGTCAGAAGACTGAAGATAAAATAAAACAAGCCACGTTAATAACAGAAACAAATTGCAATAATGAATGTGGCTGACCTTGGAGTCGGTCATCGAGTCACAGCACCTGATGGATTTAGTGTTGCACTGATTGACAGTGTTGTCACGACGAGCGGGGCTAGCGACAGCGAGGAGAGCAAACATGAAGAGAGCGGAGATGCGAGCGATCATTTTGTTAATGGGCTAGCTTTGGATAACTTTCAAAGAATGTGTTGGGATGTTGGGTTAGAGAACGAAAGCACTAGACGTCGAAAGACTGTTGAAAGTAAATCAAACAGCGAGGTCTTTATAGGATTTTTCAGAGGTGGACCGGTGGACCGTGGCCTCTGCTCAGAACACGATAAATATTCCCTGTACGTACTTTGTGCTTCTAGCGAGGATGCTAGCAAGCTTGATGGCTACAAAAATCGATGCTTCGAGACCTTGGAAACCGAAATCGAGGCTCTGTTAGTTTGACGAAATGACCCAGTTTAGGTAGAAACGGTACCATACTTTTTATGTACTCCATCGATATCAGTAATCGCTTCCATACTCCCCGGAAAGAATACTGCTAGATCGTGACAGTAGGGGGGAAGAGTCACGGACTAGTCGCCTTGAAATACATTCTTCCTAATAACAGTGATCAGTCACCCAGTGGCCATATTCAACAGTATGATAGTATCAAAAAGCTCACAATACAGTCAAGAGGAACTTCATAAGTATCATGTTGATTTCACAATTTTCTGGAGTCTTCCATCTTGCAAAAAGTGGTGCTGCATGTATACATGTAACTGGCCCGGAGTTAGATGTGCGGTATGTAATGTGCACTTTAGCGATTAAGTATTACACTCAATTGAAAACAACTGGCTGCACAGACATTGGGTACTAAGAAGGCGGAAGGGTTGCAGTATCTTTGGTTATCTCTGTCGAGTCAAATTATGCTAGAGCAGAGCAGACTAGCTGCTGGTGTTGTTTGAGCAAGGTTCGATGTGAATAGCAAGGGGCCGCTGACGGAATCTGCCAGTGAGGCCTATCCTGTGCTACTGTCGCGATCGAAGTACTGAGTCGGGCTTAAAAATTCCGAGTCAGACTCACATGCACAAGAATAACGTGACACTTAAGTAAGTCACATTGTTTTGGGCATGAGAGTTGTTGGTTTTGAGCGAAGCACTGACAACCTTGAAAAATACCTGGAGCCAATAGTAGTTCCCATTCCATATCAGAAGTACCATCGGAAATACTGACAGCTCTGATTCTTTGTTTCTAGATGGTCATGGTCGTACCCTTCATTACTAATATTGCATACTTGCGGTGACAGTCTGGTCCGAGTCAAACGTGCATTACTAGCAGTTTTGTGCCAATGATGGAAGATTAATAAGGGGCCAAGCTTGCAATTGCAGGGGCGTTAGTGTTAAATAAATTCAAACAAACGGGAGGCTATTGGACTGGGCACTGAATACTTTGGAGTCTGTTTTGAAGACGCCGTGGTAAGTCTGTCCACTCCACGTTGAGAATCGGACTGAATCGAACTATCACACCTGATACTCCTTGTAATTACCTGTGAGTTGTGTACTGTCGCGCGGGATGATAAACTCGAATTCAGACCTAGCTTTCAATCATTTTTTCTTCCAGACATTTTCCCCCGTCATGTCACTCTTCCTTCACGTCAAAGTGGAATCAAGGCACCGCATTTCAGACCTCAAACGCCGATATTGAGAATGACATTGTGTACAGTCATTGATGTTCGGACGAGGTCATTACTCGAGTAATATATCGAAACAACAGGACAGACTCACAAATACAGTACAAATACAGTAAATCAGCAAGTCCGACGGACGAAGGTGGTGGTGCGAAGATAGAAATCTTATCAAACATTGATAGGGGAAGGATGTGCTTCTTTTAGATGCTGCCATCAGAGCTTTCTATTAGGCATATTCCAAACCTCTGACGACGTATCCTCATCCACCGTATGGCCATACTCAGGATTGCTTAGCTCTGCAGGAGCATAAATCATTGGCAACCGGCCTTCTCTTCCTATCGAAGGTAATGTAGTCGTACGTGTATCGTTTCCACGTCTGAGGCTAAACCCAACCCGCACCACAATTAACAGTGGAATTGTCGTCTGCGAGAAAATAAATTAGGACATATAGGAGTTTCCCGGAGGGCTTACTCACAGCAGCTTGCATGTGCAAATTGATTCCTACATTTCCAGCAATGTCTTGACTTGCCAGTAGGCCTACAATGACGCTGGTGCACAAAACAGCAAGGAAACCAGACTCTATCATCATGAAGATTGTGCTCTTGTATGTATATCGTCCTTTGAATACGGTGATTCTCCTGCTAGCTTGCCAGAGACGATATGCAATACCACAGGTAGCCACGACATTGACTGTCAGGTCTAGTGCCCAACTGGTCATTGCAAACGGGAGTACATTAGACTCTAGGATGGTTGCACCAGGCGGAGAAATATTTGCCACAGCGATTAACGCATTTACTAGGAGACGTCACAAGTTCAAAAAAAACAGTATTTAATGACTGGATCATGATACTGACCGTATAACACAATCAGAGAAATAACCTAAGGGAGTCAACGTCAGAATGATACCCTCTAATTTTGGTACATGCATACAGGTATCACGCATAGCTTCCAGTTCTGGTCCCAGACGACGTACAAGCGCCAAACCTGGAGGATTAAATCAGCGAGGTAATCTCGTTTCTACAAAATTCACGTTTACCAATACGACGTCTTGAAGGAAAAGCTAGATATAGTCTAATTCAGTTATGCTTGTAATATGAGTGGTGAAATGACAGACATTTGTGACGTACAATCCGGTGCCAGCTACAAAGAGTCCATTCCCACCCTGAATGCTAAAATATTTGTCTGCTCCGTCTGGCTGCGAAGCGATCGCTGGATCCGTAAATGCCTTTAACAATTGCAGAAATGAAAGGATCACATGGGCAGTAGCTATAGAAATTGAGAGCGTAGATGTGCTTAACAAGAGCCTAAGGTCACGAGTTGATATGCGTCAGTTGAAGAATTTCTCGGGCTATGTAACTCGAATTTATTCACCTGTAAGAGCTGGAGGCACCATGTTTATTTCTCGACGCTATGACATAAATACATCCACCGTATAAGATGACGCTTTAGGAGTAAAATCAGCTCTAGTATTACTTGAAGTAGCATAGGTAAGATTCACTTACTTGGCACCTAAACAGCACCATTATCAGTGTTTAATTATCTTTGGAGTACCTCAAAGTACGTACCGTACATTATCGATTCTAACCACATACAAATAAGATTTAGCCGTCCGAAGGGAGGTAGGGTTGCAGGCGACGACATTAGCGACAACGCAAGGACCTGATGAATCAAGCAAAAATGTAAGGATGGATGAAAACCAAGAGGTACGAAACCGACTCGAGGCATGCCTACGCCTCTTATAAATACCAGTTTCCAAATCATCGTAAGGGGAAACTTCATTTGATAAGGTTCTCATGATGGTGTGTCACTCTAGCACTGATACGTTATATCTGGTGCTTCGATAGTCAAGCTAGTCAAGTCCTAAAATGATATAACCATAACGTTCGCCATCGCAGAACCCATCTCGGTTGTATTTTAAGAAGGAAGTGCTCGAAGGAAAAATGATACAGGCAGGTGGAGTTCCCCAAGGCCAGCGCCACGGGGACTGATTAGTGCTATTACATAAGGCGGACATCAGTCATTTCTAAACGCGCGGAGGCCGAATTTTCAAATTGAAACTCCTCTATTTAGGAAATCTGAGGTTCTACTTTTGAACAACTGTGACTACGGCTGGGCGCAAGACTGGAATGTAGGTATGCCTGCTGATGAGACTGGAACATATCTATTGCCTGCTGTGTTCTATTGATGTTGATGGATCTACTTACGGGTTCTTCTGTAGCAACGTGTGGTCCCAAGGCTGAAATACGGTGTACCCCTGCTGATGCAGGCTGCAACATATCTGGTCCGTCCCCGGTGTGTTCTAGTGATGCTGATGGATCTAATCGTGGATTCTTATTTACCTGATTCAGCGTCCATGTCTGACAAACCTGTATATAAGCCGTCTGCTACTTCCACTATCGTAGACAGGAACTACCATTCGAATTAGTTGTCGCCATGTTGAACATTCATGACTACGTGACCATTCCTTTGCCTGCCCTGCCACAGACACAGGCTCTGGACAGCGAGACGTTCAAGCCTCCAGTCTTAGATGGTTCTCTCACCATCACAGAAATGTATGATTGGCATTTTGACCATACACCCAATCATCCGATCTTCATCTTTCCGCGGACCGCAGATGGCGCTACCAGCACCATACTGTGGCCTGAAGCTGTTCGTGCTATACGCAAGGCCGGCAAAATCACCCTTTCACGCTTCCAGGAGAAAGACACTTTATCATCGTCCCGTATTCCGGTGATTGCTACCTTAGCTGCTTCTGGTACGTCCCGTCAAAATTCGGTACATCTTTTCCCCAATCTCATCGACGTGGCATCGTAAAGACACAATTTCCTATTATACGACGGTTATGGGGATAGCGTATGTGGGCTATACAGTTTTCCCAATGTCTCCGCGAAACTCCGCCCAAGCAGTCGCACATCTCATACGTGCCGCTCGAGTCACGCATATAATTGTGGGGGCTGAAAAAATGTTCCACGATCTTGCAGCAGCAGCTATAGAGTTACTACGCCACAGTGGAGACCATGCTCCTCACGTCCATGAGATGCCCTTTTTCGACAAGCTTTACAGCCACGAAGAAGGAGATGAAGATCTGCCGAGTCAGGCGGTCAAGTCATCTTTAGACACTGTTGTGTTCATACTCCATTCTTCTGGTGAGTTTAGAATAGCATATATACTATTTTGTTTGACCATCTCTTGCATGTGTCAGGTTCAACATCGTTCCCTAAGCCAATCTTTTGGACTCATTTACATCTCCTGCAGTGGGCTTCTGTCCCTTGTGAGCATCGTTATTATGTCGTGTCATTTTCAGACTGCTCAGTCTAGATTCAGATTTTGGTGAACGCGATTTAACTGGTGTAAGGTTTGCGTCTCCTGGGATACCAATGTTCCATGGAATGGGAATGTTCCAAACTGTGTGGACGGTAAGTTCTACATACTCTTATTAATAGTACTGAATGATGATAGCTTCAAGGCTGCGACTGGTGTGATTATCACCGTATTTGAGCCAAAGTCGCCTGCGATTGTTCCTACCCCAGAAGTCGTCTTTAAACACGCCGTTGATACAAACAGCGATCTGATCTTCTGCGTTCCCAGTTTCGTGGAGGTGAGCACCCTTTTGTCGATTCAGTTCGTCTATCGCTAGACTATGTCTCTAGGTTTGGTACGAGAACAAGGAGTATGTGAGCTGGCTCTCCAAGAAGCAAGGCGTGGTGAGTCAGATGCCTTGGGGTTATATGCATGACGTGTTCTGATTTGCTCAGCTTTTCGGTGGTGCACCGTTAAATAAAGAAGTAGGCGACGCTCTAAGTAAGGCTGGTGTTTCTCTGTTCAGTCTTTTCGGAACGTCAGTAGAAATATATTCCTGATCATAACTACACTCTCAATTATTGATTTTTGTTATACAGCACAGAGATTGGCATTGTTACCTCTGTTCTACCTAGTACGAAGCAACGTTTATCTTTATTACTCCGTTTCTGAGACTCATTTACAATGCAGGAAAACCCTGTCCGGACTGGCAGTATATCTGTGTTTCGAAACTCATGAAAACGGAGTTCCTATTCAACGACGACGGGAAAGCAGAGCTAATTATCCACGTGCGTGCTTTTGAGAAGATCTCATTTTTACCGATTCCTGATCACCCGCTATTTTATTATCAGCCTCATGCATATCATGTCCCCGTTGTAACAAACGTTAAGCGGGGAGACGTTGAAGCATATGCAACCGGTGATCTTTTCACGCCTCACCCGACATTACCCGATTACTGGACGTACTACGGTCGGGCGGACGATCAGATTGTACATAGCACGGGCGAGAAAGTACGATGCTCTCTCTCTTCCATCTGTCCACTTCTTACTGAGCTTACACCGCTATTGTCAAGACAAATCCTGGCCCTCTAGGTACGCTAATCAAACATAATGCCAATACTCCTGTTTCATGTGTGTCCTTGTAGAAAACATCCTTGCGCAGGATCCTCACGTACAGAATGCAATTATATTCGGTAGCGGCAAGTTCAATTGTGGAGTACTTATCAACCCTGTGGAGGCGGATAAGTTTGATGTCACAGACACGGAGAAAGTAGCAGACTACAGGAATAAGATCTGGTACGCACAAACTTGTTATTCCTATCATTAGGTGGCGACGATTCAGTCCTGTTTTTGAATAGGCCGACTGTAGAGCGTATGAATCTCTATGCACCCCAACATTCTAGGATATTCAAAGAAGTGCTCTATTTGCAATTATTCTAGTCGATCTTTCTCATCCTTACCTCATTTAGATGATAATCATTGCGTCGCCATCAAAGCCATTCGTATTCACCGCGAAGAACACACCCCGTCGTCCTTTCCTGATCAATCAATATGAACCCGAAATCAATGCTTTGTATGCGGCCGTAGCCGAAACCACTCAACCTGACCTACCTGTTCCCTCGGAATGGAATATGGCAAATACTTTGAATTTTGTGAGAACTGTGGTCGCAAGGACGCTAGGTAAAACTGTCGACGACCAGGACGCTATATTCCAGCATGGTGCTGATAGGTGAGTTGTCCTTCTTTTGAAACCAGTGAACATATATCAACAAACATCCAGTCTTCAAGCCACTTGGATCCGAAATTATATCTTCCATGCAGTCCGAACATCTGCTCAGGTGGATACGAGAAAATTTCCAGGAAACCTTGTATACCTGCATCCTTCCATCTCTGCGCTTTCAACCTTTGTGTACGAGGAGATGGTTTCATCGCATCAAGAAAATCGGGACGTCTCTGCAAATCAGTGCCAGGAAATGGAATCAATGGTTGAAACCTACAGTCAAGCATTCCAGAATCATGTGCCTTCCACCGAATCGAATGCAGAGGACATAGTATTGGTCACAGGAACGACCGGTGGAGTTGGAGCTTATATACTGGCAGAATTATTGGGTACTGCCAAAGTTTCTAAGGTATACGCCATCAATAGGAAGAATAAGACTGTACTGCTCGAAAGGCAGAAGCTCGTGCTTGAAAACGTCGGGTTGGATCCAGCTCTAGCGTCTCATTCAAGGCTTGTCTTATTAGAAACCGACATCAGTGAGTCTGGCCTTGGACTAAGCTCGGAGAGACTCGAGGAGGTGCGTATGACCCTGCCACAATGAATAAACTCTGACGCCAATATTTAGATGAGATCGTCGGTCACGCATATCATACACAATGGTATGCTAACGTGTAGCTATCTGGGCGTGCTTTTCTTGACGATTTGATTGATAGCTTGGCCCGTGGATTTTAATATCACTCTCGCCACTTTCCAACCTCAAGTAAAGGGAGTTCGTAACCTGATTGATTTTGCACTGTCAAGTTCCCTACCAGAGCCTCCTCGTTTTATATTCATGAGTTCCATTGGAGTATTTCGCAGTGCGTCATCTCATAATTCAACTATGCATGACTAGTAGATTGACTTCCCTGGAGACCTCAAAACCGCCAATCCTGTTCAGGAGACAGCTGTCGATAGCTCCATTGCTGTGGGTTCTGGATACGGCGAATCGAAATGGGTATCAGAGAGAATATTATTGAATGCGGCGGCAGAAACCACGTTACGTCCAATCATCATTCGACTTGGCCAACTTAGTGGCGGTTTGAACGGCTATTGGAAAGAGAAGGAATGGGTTCCTTCCCTTATCCGTTCTAGCATTCATTTGAAGTGTCTTCCTGCACTCGACCAGGTAAGTCAAGTCTACAGGATATTCTCAAAGCGTCGACTCAGCGTAATTGCCAGTCCGTTACTTGGATACCCATGGCTGTCGCCGCGAGGGCCATCACTGAAATGCGCAATGCTGGCGCTCCAATCCTTCATGTCGCCCATCCGAAAGGGACGCCGTGGTCGACGATATTCCAACACTTCTCAAAATCACTTAACGTCCCGATAGTACCATACAAACAATGGCTGGATCTTTTAGAAGATTCTTCGCTGCACTCCAAAAGTTCAGCTCCGGCGCGAGAGAATCCAGCATCGATTATTCTTGACTTTTTCCGTGCGGCAAAGCCTTCCACAGAAGAGGCCATGGGATTACCTCGTATGTCCATAAACGAGGCGCAGGCAGCATCCACCGTGTTAGGTAGTGGTAGTTTATCAGCACTCGGCGCTTCAGACGTGGAGTTGTGGTTAAATTACTGGCGAAAGACTGGCTTCCTTCCCACTGGCAAGTGATAGCTTTGTGGATCTGTATCTAGGTTTCAGTACTGCTTTTACCATGGTGAACTGCGGACTTTTGTGTATCATATACGTAAAACTTGATCCTTGCTACAAATTGTATTCCCAAAACACTCCCAGAGATTTCTTGGTAGCTCGCTAAGTCGAGCTTAATTTCCTTTATACAAGTCCAGGTGATCCAGATAAGTTTCGAAGCTAACCTTAGAGCTGGTTTCGCGATTGAGACATGCAAGGATCCGCCATCTTACGGAAGGTGCGTTTTGACACCTAGCAAATGATTCGTACATTCGAAAAACAGCGGTACCAGGAGACCGAGACAATCGGTGGCTATAAATGATAAACCCAACTAGGATCTTTAGTTATCTCCGCCTAATCAATTTGTGCTACGGCAGAGTGGATCAAGCTAGCAGCATCGTTTGAGCAAGGTTTGATGCTGCATACAAATGGCAAGGGTGCACTGGCAGAGTTTGAGATGTGCTTCAGCGGTGACGAGATGCGATCACTACGCACCTGACCAATCCAGAAGTGTATCCATACTTTGGCTCATTTTGCCGTTCTCATCGACAGCCTTGGTGATATCAAATGTGGTACGAATGCCGGTGACCCCGATCCAAACCGATGAATATGCCATGAATCGACCTGGGCATATCCTTCTCCCATATCCGAAAGAAGCGATAGGATCTTGAGTGGAGGAATTAAACTCGCCATCTTTGAGAAAGCGTTCCGGTCGAAAAATCCATGGATCAGGATACGTGGCTTCGTCGTGTAAGGTGGCCCCGTAAAACTCCTTTTGAGCCTTCTACTGCACTTACTTTAAGCATCGGTAAAAGGAAAAAGGTCGACGAAATGACTACCTGAATGCGAGTTTTAGCTTACTACCACAGGCTATCGTTGCATAAAGATTAACCATGTTGGCACCCCCTAGACGACATAGCACTTGATCAGTAGGGACTTAGAGTAAATTGACCGGATTCACCAAGGAATGCTGACGCAAGAAATCCCTTCACCGAGCGTTCACGATCTGGGAGACTCGGATGGAAATGTTCCACGCAACGGTCTATGACCGTTAGTAACCTTGATTTGGTGATCTAGGTGTTGAAACAAATGGTGAGAAATAGGTCATCAGTTTCAATACAAAAGAGAAGGCTTTACAGTGTTCGAACCACGTATCGCTGCTTCAAAAGGGAGGTTTAAACATGCTGTCTGCCAATTCACGCCATAATCATATTCCACTACCGATGCTGGACAAAAATTTTGAAGGAGCACGATTCGATGCTCTAGTCATTTGTTACTGTAAGCCATTGGACCAACCGCCCAATCCCGACCCATGCTGAAATACAACATTTTAGCGCGAATGATATTTTGCTTACAGTGACGAAAACTTACAAATATTTGATCATTGGAAATTCAGGTCTGGATAAGAAATCAGATAATTAGCCAGTGTCTCGATTCGTGAAATTACGCACCTATCAGACCAAATCCTGGAGCATTTTTCGAAAGTGTCGCTGGCGACGTCTCTTGTGTTGAGGAGCACCAGCCTTATCCCCAGAACATTCAGAGATATTATATCAGATCCTGGATTTTGTGGTCATCGATTCGTAACTTACCATATTGTTTGCACCAGCGATCAAACACCAACCAGTGGAAATTTGGGAACGTCAAATAGATTGCCTAAGAGAGGAAGCCCCACAGGTCTAGGAGGGAGAGGGCGACGACTGCTCCTCCGCTGAAGGTACCATATCCATATGAACAGCTGATGAATATCATGCCCAATGCAAAGCTCGACGTGTAGTCGAATATGGCCACCATTACTCCAAGGAATATATATCGAAATATCGGTTCGCTCCGTTGAGACGAGGACAGTTTTATAGCAAAAAAATTGCATTCGATTGGGAGACCATAATATGGAGGAAGCAATGGCCACTGAAATGATCACGTTGAGAAGAGAGGCACAAGAAAACGTACCAGACTATTTGGGAAACAAAAGGTGCCAGAGACATGTAACAATGAAGACGTGCTATCGCATGATAGTACAGAACTTTAACAGTATTAGACTATTCTCCATTTCAATAATTGCGTGCGATAAGCCACTACATTTGTGATGATAATAGTTAGTCCCACAATGCAGATGTGAGCCCAGCTTAACGTGGGGCTTCCCGGAACGCCTGCGTGTTCCAAATCCAGTGAGCACCAAAATAAACCTCTACGAGCTCTGAAGTGACATCGTATAGGAATGCGAATACCTGTGACATATTGACAAGTCTGAGCTAGCTCGAAAATTTCGGCCTGTTTGATTTATGCGGCTACTCCAGATCAGAAGATGGTAAATAAGACTTGTCGGTTTCGTTGGACTGTCGTCCACATTCTTCTCTTTGGATCCAACACAGCGTTATATTACGCACTCGCAGTGCTGTTTCGCTACCTGAACTTCAGGTTGCTCTGCCAGTGACAAGTCTGAGAGCTATTCAACCTTCGTAATGCCCGGTGGCTTGGAATGTACAACCTTTCCCACGACTGTTTTTGTATCAGCCCATCATCGACTCGGACTCATTTCCAGCTGGTTCCCTTATCCATTTTTCTGCCGTCTTCGAGCAATCTATCAATAGAAATAGAAAATAGAGATGCGGTTCGCACCGTTAGCTGCATTGTTAGTCCTGCCATTACTTTCAACTGCTCAGGTATGTTTCACTTGAGTATACAGTATATGATCCTGTTACTGATGATTAAATTCTGACACCGCAGTCTTCGAATTCTCCAAACGTCCAGCTTTCAACGTCTGTAATAGCCTCAGTTGGCCTCGGCTCAGGCCGGGTCGTTACTACTGTTTTGCAGACCACGGTGTTTACAGTGGCGGCTGCATCTCCCACTGTAACTTCGTCGGGAAATAACACATCATCGGGCAACTCTACCAATCCTACTAATTCTACCACTTCCGGAAACTCGACGTCTTCAGTAACACCGAGTAATTTGCCTACAGCGGCGTCAAGTGTACCAGGAGTGAATGGTGGTCCCAATGGTGCCCCAAGTCCGGGTGCCAGCGCACCTGGTGGTATTTACGGACCACCAGACGGGTACATCGCTGCTGCAAATGCTCTGAAGAGGAATGCTGTTGTTGTGAGTCTCCTCGGGGTGACCATTGGAACAGCTTTGGTGTTCATTTAGGACTGCATGGACCTGTCATGTTGTCATCTGGGTACGAGATACAATATCATAAGGGTCTTTTATTGGTTAGGTTTTCTTTCTTGACGGACAGACAATATCGGCGATTATATTGCGCACACTACATTTAGTCATACATCCTCTCTTTAACACCCTCACCACATATACTGTACACCTGTCGTCTGGACTAATGGTAGACTCAGAAGCATGACGCTTGCAAACTTTTATCCTGATAGCCTGGCCTGTCGCGTGACGGTGGCGTGATAATATTGTGACGGACCGTGTCAGCTCACTTTTTCTCAATGATTCTGATCAGGAAGTTCGTTGCGGTATGTCGACCCGGAAAGGACCGCCAAAGTCACGAAAACGCCAGCGTATCGAATCCCAAGATCCACATTCTGACACTGAGGAGGTCGTCTTACTCCCTGACGACCACAGCCCAGGGCCCAGCCGACATATAAAATTATGGTTCCAGGATGGAACCATCGTTCTATTCTATCTACCCATTCCAAAATATTCCGCGACATGTTGGGTGGTTTTTAGCTTCTCTATCAAAAGTGCATATAAAATGTCATGTTTGATAGAGAATTTGTTCAAGCTTACAGCTTAACATATTTGTGGAAGCCATGTATGCTGCATTAGTGTCTGCTTTTATCATTACTCACTGATAATTTCTCTGTTTATTTAGATTTCCAGGTTTGCATAATACGCGACACTCAACTTACAATACAAACGCCTTGATACTGTTATCTTACAAATAAATATTTCCTCGTCGGTGAACGATTGAAGTCGATCAAAGCCGGATGTCACCGGGAACCGATGGTCTCTTTCGCCATTCGACTTCCCATCCTTTTGCGGGGCCCTCAGCGTCGCCTTCATTTGGTAACCCGAATACGGCGGTAAGAAGCCAGATGTTACTACTATCAGGTTTGTGTTTCGCAACGAGCGTAGGTAGAACCGCTCGGGCGACTATCAGATTCGAGTTGGCATCAGTGCGTAAAGCCTGCCCATTTCTCGAGCAGGTGCTCCCAATATCAGCGATTCCAGACACTCCAGCTTTTGACGTAGCCCTGGCTTCTCCCGCTTCCTCGTATGTGCCATATTTACCCTCTGGAGCTGGTTCCAGCGCTCGCCCATCCTCTCTCTGTCCGTAGATAGCGAAGCCACCTTCTGCTGACGTTAAATCTCTCCCTGTCTTGATTCTATGCACCCGCAGGTGCCATAACGGAGCTTCCAAGGTAGGCGGAACCAGCCATGTCTCTACTTCGACGTCTTTCCAGGGGTACCACATCGACCTCAACCACTTTCCATTTTCAATCCTTGCTTCTCTCGTATCCCTTCGACATTTCCAGGTTTCACCGTTATCATCACTCAGTGCAAGAGTGTTGTCGCCCCCAAGTTCTTCCAACGTCCCGTTTCCTACAGGTACACTGTACCCAAATGCTGATGAGTACGCCAGCTTTCCGTATTTTGCAGCGCTTTGCTTGACAGGATACGAGCATTGCTGACCGGACGACAATAAGAAAGTGTGACCGCCAACGTTAGTCGCGATGTGGAGAGGTTTGTGAAGCACTGCGGTAGTGCCAAGAAGTTTTGACGGATAAGGTTCCTCTTTCGATGTCCAAAACGGATGAGAATCTGGGAGCGCTAGAGTGACGAATGATTTGCAGCACCAGTACGGCGAACCTGGAGAGTTGTAGTTCTCGGTCATATTGTGATTGGGATACACGAAACCAATGGTAAGTGTTCCATCAGGATAATATGCTCCAGGCTGCCGCATCCAGTAACGTATATTTCGCAGCTGCAAACCTTTGATCACACCCCAGGTCAACGGTGCAGGTAGCTCTACATCCGCAAATGCAAGAGCACCCCAGAAAGAAGACATGGCGAATCGGTATGTCATACTTCTGCCGAAGGGGATAGCACGACCTGCACTATATGAGATTCAGTACAATGAATAAATCTGAGGTAATTACCTTCGGCATCGAAGTAACGGATAAAGTCCTGGGCGAAACGGCGAGCACGGTTGCGGTATTCCTCGCACCTTTGAGGATCCTCTGCCTGGGCAAGCTTGGAATATACAAGTTGCGCGAACTGAATAGCAAAGGAGGACGAATAATAGTCGAGCTGTATAACCCCTTCTGGTCCGTCGCGCGACCAGCCTTCGCCAATGTAGAAAGTATCCAGATGGTCCAAGTCAGCTTTCATTCGTTTCGCATCAAATCGAGGAGAGCCGACTTTTGAAAGGCCAAGGTTGGCAAATACCTATGATTTATCGCGTACATTCCTCATGGCGTAAATTCCCTGTTAATGCCTCAAAGTATGTAGGATAGACTCACGCGAAACCAAAGCCAGTTAGTATTAGGCATCTCTTTATCGTTCATTCCTCCAAGCCAGCTTTCAAAGTTCTTCTTCGATGCATCGTCTAGTGGATCCCATAGTTTCTCTCTCGCCACAGCTAGCGAAAAACCTATTGCAGAACACTCTACCATACGCTGATCCTTGTTCCTCATATCTCCCCAGAATTCTTCGTGATCGGGATTCGTTCCACTAGAAAACCCATCTACCCATCGCTTAGTGCCTTCATAAGACCCCCCTCCAGCAAGAAGTGCCGCAAGACCCCAGATGGGACGAGAAAATCCTTCCAACTGAGCAGCAGCCTCGTCATAATGAGTAGCGGTGTGTCCTAGATGGATTCGGGCTCCCCCAGGAGAGGTATGAGGCCCAAGGGGGTCCAGTACGTTGACCAAGAAGTTCGCCAAATCATTTTTGGTTTCAAGAGGATTTTTACCCCAGGGTCTAGTTCCAGCGAAAGGATCCATGTGTTGAATCCGGTATTAAGGGAAATGGCGGACTGAATTCCTTGGTGGGTGATGGGAGGCTTGTCCTTTCTATATGGCGGGATCGGGAGAGGGGTTTATTCGGTGGGCGGACCGATCGGACCGTTCTGTTACCTTAGATGGCTCATGCCCTTTTTTCTGAGGCACCTGTTCGTGTTCTTCGTCGGTCACTTGCTCGTCGTCAAACGTTCAATGGCTGTTGCATGTGGATATTGGGCAAAGCTATTTTCCGGTACCTTCGTTCTCTGATTTACTTCATGTGCACAGCTGTGATGATAGTGCACTGACCATTGACGATCATGCTCCGCCATACAGAGTACTATAGGCTTTATTAGTCCATCGCATTGTACAAGTCTGTCTCCTCAATCACCAGTCAAAAGTGATGTCAGTCTATAAATATTGTATGCTTCTTCCTGTTAGAATAAAACTGTTTTGATGCCATCCAATCGGAGGATCTTTTGTGATGCTTCCTAGAATCACGAGGGCGAGGTTTCCCATTAGATCATTCAGAATAGTCCGTTGGTATCATCTGCGGGGTTTATACTAAATACTGCTTCGAGATCGAGGGAACTGCGCATGCATCATCTCCGACCTGGGCGTCACTATAGATAACTGCGAGCATTGTGATGGCTGATGCATTGACTAATGTACAAAAATAAGATACAACGGGGATCACACTGGACTCGATGCAGATGGCATTATCCATAACAACAATACCAGGCAGCAGGAAGAAAGAATGATGAAATACAACCTTACAAAATCTCAGCTTCAGCACGAGGTAACGGCCAAACAATAATGGAAAGTTCCTGCCTCCTCAGTGGAAGAGTTCCACCCTGGTCGCAGTAGACTATTCCACAACTGGGCAAACCGAGCATATCCCACAATTGCTCCCTAAGGCGTTTCTGCTACTACAACAAATGTAAAGTTAATGTGCGGATACGCATGGAGAGGATAGATATTCTGGGTCGGTTGTGACTTGATCTAGGGAAAGGTGGACGCACCTCTCTCATTAAATTCCTAGTATACGGATAGCGTTGCACCAAAGCGTTCACATCAAATGCAAAAATGGGACCTTCGTCACCAACAAGTGTACCAGTAGCAGATTCGCACATGCTATTAGCAGGAGCGTGGGTCTGGGGTGGTTCCTCGGTTGAAGCACAGTCATGGTCGACGACAATGCTAGCGGCGGCGGGAAATAGGTGATCACGTGGAAGCTCTTCAAAGGTAGTATTTGAGTACTGATCAGTGGACGATTTATTGGAGGTAATGTCGTTGGCATCTGTGACTGATATTTTTGTGGCATCGGATTGAGTGTCCACTTGATTAAGTTTCGCAGTCGGACGTTGCTTTTCTGGTCTGGGCTTGCCAATAGCAACCTCTTCAGCAGCTACGATACCCCCTGGTGATATGGGTGGAGGAAGATACGTTATGACCCGTCTTGCACCGATTGTGCGATTATTCCCTTGCATTTCTTGTTTTGTACCATTTGATCTTGAAGTAACCTTGCCCATATTTCGATTTGGTATGGGCAAACGGAACCTGCCAGATTGTATAATCTTGTTTTTCCTCGAATCACTTGTGACTGCACGAAATTTCTTCCTGGAAGGTAAAGTCGTCCATGTAGCGTCAGAATCTTCTTCAGCACCGAATGCATAAGCAGAGACCATGCGAGAAAAGTCTGTTGGATTACGTTGAACACTTTTCCGCGGTGGGCTTATAGGCGGAGGCGAGCTGGGTGGAGGGGGCGACGGGCTCTTCAGTTGCATTCGAGATTCGTAAGTTGAGACAGACTTTGCAGGAACCCTGGAGACTTCAGAAACAGCAGGAGTTATGCGCATATTGGCTGTCTCTATCAGCCGCGGATTGAAGGGTGGGGGAACTGCAAGGCCAGGATCAGAAGGGAGCACACTTTGCACCGTCGACGCGAGCCATTGAGGCATCCTCTGGGGCTCAACGGTACGTGGAGCAGGAGATACATCGAAGCAACGTTCAAAGGTTGGCTGTGATGCTTGTGGGTAAAGTGAGTGGTCTTGACGGCGATGCGTGTAGGCCACTTGTTCAGGTGCACGATGATTGATGTGACTTGGTACTGTTAGTTGTTGCGGAGCTTTTGGGACGGCATATATTGACCAAAATAGTTTCTTAGTAAAGGGAGACAAATATACCTGGTATATGCGCCTGTATCGGACTGGAACGAGAGTGGTATTTGGGGCAGATATACCCCTGGTTTGTTTCGAACACCTCCAGTTGATGAGGTATTTGGCCTTGCCTATTATAAGCCACCTGATTTGGTCGAGACGGGAGGAAAGTGTTATCTTCGTAGGTAGGTCGCAAGGGAGAAGACTGAGAAATTGCTTTGCATTCAAACCGACTGTGTGGGGACGCGTAAATATGAATTGGGGAAGAGAAGGACTGTGATAAGTTAATGCGACGAGGTGAATGAAAAGGAGTAGCAATATTTGGCGTGGGATGCATATCCGCAGCTTCTGACGGAAGTATCAACATTTGACCGGCTGAATGAGAAACAGACGTCTTGTGAGGAGGTACAGGCAAAAAGGGGATATTAAAATGGGCTGTATGCGCAGAGCCTTGATCATTTCGAGTATGAACAGAGCGAGGAACAGCTGGATTCAGTGTGGGCGCTCCAGTAGACGTTTTATGCGTCCTTTTTGCTTGTTGCTTACTCTTCTGAGGAAGGACTGAATCGTCTGGCTTCAAAACACTCCGCATATGACTTGGGGGTGGCCGTTCGGCTTGCTTCTTGAATGCATCAACGATACGACCTTGAGGCTGCTTCAACGGTGCTTGTTGACTCGGTGCTTTGTGCTCGATATGTTTAGACGAAGCTGCAGGCCGAGATGATGCATTTATCTTTGCGATTGTCCAGGGATTGGGTTTGTACTCCACGGTTTCTTGTCTAGATGCCAAATCGAGGTCCCTGAATAGTTGCGTATCGTCTGAAAGTGCGTCTCGTGATTGATCCTTATCGTCATCAGATTCACCAGAGTCATCAGAGTCGCAATAAAAGCCCCCATAGCTGCGATGATTGAAGGACCAGTTTGAGCTTGTATTCGTTGTCCTCTGCGACCGCGATTCAAGTTTTGGAGTGGAGCCTTCAACATGGCTCGAGTGCATGATTCTTTTCGAATTGAGAACGGAACAGTGTCGTAGACTTTGATTTGAAGGGGAAGCTTATCATAAGAGCGAGAAGCACATCCACTTGCGAAACAGAAGACTCAAAATGACAGTGTCACAAAACCCTAACCTTAGATTACTTGCTCAGCGCACAACTCCCACAACGTCTTACACAGAGTATATTGATACGAGAGCGATAGCTGAAAATCGAAGACATTCGACGTTGAAATAGTGTTGATGGAGTACGGTACAAACACGGTGACCGTTGCCATTTCTGATACTCTTGAACCGTACGCCAAGATCAGAAACAGAATGCCGGCGGCTGCCCGAAGGCAACAAGCTGCCAACAGGCCGAAGACAACGGGGACATATCCGACAAGCGTGGACACTAGGCAAAGGCTGTTGCAGAGGAAGGCTCAACCGTGCATGGCGCTTGGGGCGTGCTTGGGTGTCATTAATTCAAGCCTTCGAGTTGAATAGGCTGTGTGTGAAGTAATGTTCTCGGTGAGATGTAGGGACTGAGCACAGTTTTGAACGTTATTTCGAACGCAGACGGGGACGAGTAGGGCGGATATTGACTCAGGCCAAGACTTGGAAAGGTATTTGGAATATCGATGCCCTGTCTGAGAACTACGACTATCGCGTCATTATTCTTGACATCCTTCGCATATTCTACGTCTCGGTAGAACTCGGCAGTCCTTTCAGCTGTAAAAAAACCTGCGAGACTCTCAGACTCTCAGTACAGCGTGAAATCCATCGACCACTTATCATGAAACTCACGGTCCGCCTAGTAGAAACAGACGGTGATCTACAACAAATCAAAAGACCTTCAAAATCGCACCGTTTCGCATATAGTAAGACAGTCCTGGAACCATCACATTCCCAAGCATTGAGATAGTGGGGGTTAAGACTCATGGTGTCCATCTGATAGCGGAGAAATGTGTGTGAGCTTGCGATTAAGCGTTGTTTGAGCGGAAACTGTGTAGATTAGAACAACGCACAATGGACCACTCCAAGCAATGGTGTTAATATGATCATATGTGGTTCAAAGGTCCTCGAAGGTTTTCAAAATGCTCAGTCCGATACTCAAGGTCAAGTTTCGCCCAGAGTTTGCCGAGTTTCCCTATTAGCAAACGCCCAGCCTAAAGCCGTTCCCTTAGCGAATCAGCATCGACGGAAGAGAAAGAACCGCTGTAGAATGCGGTGCCTACTTCATGACAGCATTTCTGACGAATAGGACAAGGCCATGGCAGTGGGGATAGAGGGGACGTAACCCGAGGTGCTCCGATGTTACAAAAAAAAAAAAGTAGTCTGGATTTGACCTGGATGTATAAAATAAACTTGGGTCGGCTCCATCACCGTAGCACGTCCTTAAAGGCCCAGCGGATTCCCTTCGTTTCTCTCAAGGGTGCCCGCTCTTCCACGCATTCGGATCAATACGCATTCGACCTCGATTCAGTTCCCGAGAACGAGGCACCTGCTTGTATCACTCCTGAGTTCGTCGACGTCGACATGTCCAACAACGCCAACGCCTCTTCTAACGACAAGAGCAATATGGGCTCTTTACCACCACCTGTATCACACAAAGCCTCCAGTTCGTCGATGCGAAAAGATGGACTGCCAGGGGATCATCACGATGTACAATCTTCAATAACAATGAGCAACCTCAAGCAGTATCTGCTTCAGGACGTTGACGGCGACAAATCAGCAGCCCCACTGTCTGCATATTGTTTCATGACTGGTTTTGTGTAAGGACCTTTCTTTCTTTAATCGGTACCTATATTAACTCCTTATCCACCTAGAAATTCTGTCATCTTCTCAGCTGTCTTTGTGTGGTGTGCATTCCAAACTGGTAACACTGTACAGGTACTTGCTTCTCATAACATTTCTCGACGAGATGGATCCTAAGTCTCCTTATTGTCTGTCTTTATCTACTCTTAGTTGTCCCTGGCTATCGCCCGTCTTTTCTCAGGACCACCTGGTCAGCGTGACCTATCATTCCATCTCGCTGATCAACAAGCGCTATGCTCCTTGATCACTTTCATTCTCGGCGCCACTATCGCCCGCATAGGTGACAAGATTGGCTGCAAAACTCGTGCCTGGCTTGTATTGGGCACATTCATCCAATGCATTTGCACCATGGCTGCAGCTATCGCGATATGGAAGAGCGGTCAGGGTAGTGTCGCAGATGTGAGGGATAACCCAGCATGGTCGAATGCTTTGTCTTTTGTATGTATTGGCTTCATGAGCGCTAGCATGGGTCTGCAAGGCATCATGGGCAAGCGCTTAAACACACAGTTTACCACAACTGGTACGTTATCTTATCCCCTTCTGTCTCAAATGGAACGCTAATAGCACCTTCGTTTTTCTCGCTCTCTAGTTGTACTAACGACTACGTGGTGCGAGCTTATGGTTGAACCAAGCTTATTCCATATACGTCGTCTCGTGAAATCGAGAGACCACAAAGCTGTTGCAATCGTCTTCCTTTTCCTTGGAGGATTTATAGGTCGTGCGCTCCTCGACCAGATCGGCTCTGCTGGTACCCTTGCTATCGGTACAGGAATCCGATTCATCATCTCCATATGGTGGTTCTTTATCCCTTCCAAAGTTAAGAAATAAATGTTATTCCTATGATATGAACGGTATGGTTAGACGTCTTTGAGATTGATCGTGAGAGATGGGGAAGGCGGAGTTAGGGGTAGAAACACTGGGAAACAAGAAACGTTGCATTTTTCATCTGGATACATATTTACACTACTGACCCCCGAAAACATCAGTAATCACACCCAATGCCACATAGAATTTTTGTTCACTGTCAATGTTGATAACTAGATCTTAGAAGGTCGTTTAGACAACCCAATGCAATGGATATCCATGCAAACTGGAAACGAGACCAATATTTTTCGTGCACCGCCAGCCAAAGCAGAATGTTGCTGAGAGCAAAAACCACCAAAATGGTAGTACTACACAGGAGGTCCAGTGGTGGGAAAGTATTCTTGACGGGACCTCTGATGGATGGTCTAGGAGTGGATGGCTAGGTACTGCCATTGACTGCAGTGGACCAGAATACTCTCCTGAAGGTGTATGAAGTTGGACGGTATACACTTAAGCCCGATCAAATTCTCCAGACGACGAATGTTGCTGTCCATACGGATTATCAGATTTCTGATCCGACATCATGGGTGAGATAAAAAGATAAGATAGGGTTTTTCCTGAGGAGGCTCTTACCAATGGGTTCCGAGTCGGTACTTACAGTATCTATGCATATATGCCCGACCAGCGAAGAAAGCGTAATAGCACAGCCACTGCCGCGGCTGCTGCCTTCAAAACCACTTTTGAATGCGTCGACGTCTCAAACTCACATTTTGTTTTATTTTTGCTACGCTTCCACCTCTACAGCTTGATTCATATCGAGTTTTGAGGAATTATGTAGGAGTTTAATTGACTTAAAACATTAGACCAAGCCATCACAAAAAACTAACGTTAGACTCTAACAAAACTGCCGTCGCTTCGGCATAATGAAATAATACGACATGTGTAATTCTCACGTTGGTTTATCGATTATGAATTTAACTGTAACACATTCAATGCCCTTAGTCGCATTCAGAACTGAGGCACTGGCCTGCATAATCCCCATTTTGAATGTATCAGTCAGACTGGGAGCTTAGCATTACTCGGAAGTTACGCACATGGCAACTTCGCACTGCAATAGCGGTGGGAATCAAATCAAAGCTCGCCTGTGCACCAGAATGGTTAGCAACATGGATGATCTTCAGCTTCGACCGAAGGGTTTTCTCTAGACCTAACCTTGCGGTATGTGTGTTATATTAGTTCTGTGGTGAACTTCAGTGGTTTATGATATTTTAGCAAATGTAGTGGCTGAGGCTCCGGGATAAGTAGGGTAGGGACTCATGTCGTTTTTGGCCATTATGGTTTTGCCTTTCGTGAAGCTCAGACACTTGCTAGTGAACGCCTCGCTAATTTTACTTTTCCTGGCTACTCTGAACGAACCATGCTGTGTTCCCCGAAGTCCCCTCGTCAGCGGTTTGATACTGATGGCATCATTGATCACAGAAAGCCTACCTTGATTTGGGCAGGGCGAAACATTAAATAGAGAGCTACGCTACAGGGAAGCTGTTGTGTTATCTGTCAAAGTTCGCAATGTTTCTTCCGGAGGAGCTCGAAGCGCCCGTTTTGATTATTGATACGAATCTAGGGCCAACATGGGGTTTTGTTTTAGTAATGAGCTTCATCAGTGTGGCCCTTTGGGGCATCACTTGCGCCCAAGTGTAAGCCATCTATGTTTTACGAATTCCAAGCCCCTTGTTCATTTACCTCGCTAGGTACTTCTACTATTCTAAGTAAGCCACGCGAAGGATCGGAAATTATTACGATGGCTTGACATGTCTCCTAGCTATCCAAAAGACGCTGCGTATGTGCGATTTACGGTAAGATTAAAGAGGCCAGTAGTTCATACATGGGTCAGGCGAGTTACTGAATGATTAATTGAAATAGGTCATATGGCTATGGTGAGTTCTTAGAGCATCATCCTCGTTTTCCACTCAGCCTTTACTAGGATATTTGATACTACTCGTGAAGTTCTGGTGATTATAGCAGGTGAGCCCTTTTGCTAAATCATACGTAGTGATTAACGGGCTTTGCAGTATATGATGCACTGATAAATGGATTTGGGAATTAAAATATTTCGCAAAAGTTGGCTCGTAAGTGTTATTTATAGAAGATGTTGAAGCATGTTTAACCTAGTAACAGGGCAAATATTGTGCGCATGCATCACTACTCATCTAGATACTGGCTTATCTCTATTCAATCTTTAGTGGCAGTCTTTGTTTACCGTGAGTTTCAGTGATGCACTATGATCTAATGTATTATATAATGGCTTTGGCAGGCAATTATCAACACGATATCGCAATGTTTTCTCTTTTATAGGATCTGGAGATGTTAGTGATTATGGTCCTTTTGCTATAGTCGTTGACTCATATTCTATTAGTGGGTGGGAGTAACCCTTTTATTCTGATAATTCTAGTAAGTCCTTGTTTCCTTTGGTATGGGATCATCTAAGGCAGTCTCCCAGTTTCCTTTCATCCTGTTCGGACTAGGCGAGCTAAGTTTTTCTTGATGGCATGATGTTGAGCACTCACTTGACATTTCGTACGCAATGTTAGCTGGAACTTGTGGTAAATAACTATTCAAAATACCTTCTCCAAATAGCTGTAGCTGATTCTTCTTCAAAGCCTATGTAGCACTACTGTAAGTGGTATCCACTTGCATGTGGAAGTTTCAAAACTCATGCAGCTTTACAGCCTACCGAACCCTACAGTACAGAACTTGGAGGCGCCACTTATGCAGGTGTGTAAACCATTCGCAGCTGTGATGGCCATAGGGCTTGAATATGAATCAGTGCTACAAAAGCACTAGTGGATATCATAATCTCATGTTCTCTCATCTTGTACCTTCGAGTCAAACGCGTAGAAAATGCGTCAGGACGGTAAGTAAAATAAACAATTATTTCGGGTTCAGCATATTAAATAGATTTTCTTGTATCAGGAATAAGCGTATGGTTCGACATTTAATTCTCCTTTCACTTATCACGGGATCGTGGTGTGCATTCAACTCACTGGCAGTCGTAATGGCGGTACGTTTATCTTATTCTATCATTTGTTGAGTCCCAGGACGAGATCCGATCACATTTATAGTTCGCCATATGGCCAACGAATCTTGTCTACTTTGGGATCATTATTATCACCAGCCCAGTATACTGTAATACCGTCCTCGCACACCTCAATGCAAGCAACCATTTTAGGGCACTGGTCTCTGCTGACCCAACCGACTGCCCTGAGGACCTAGAGGATCTCAATTTTACATAGATGACACATACATTTTGGCATCTTGGTGTTTTGTGGAACCATCTATGATGACGGAAATGTGCATCATCATTTCTAGGAAAACTGTGAACTTTGTCGAAGGCCTTAGGCCAAGGAGTCCCAGTTTTGATGCAGCATGTCCAGCTCCGTCGAGTTAGCTTACTATGTTGGTATCAGGTATCGCCAGCTGAGTAGATTTAAGCCCCGAGTATGCTTACAATATATCTGCTTGCATCAGAACGCGCTTAGGGCTATATCAACAGATATGTCAATGCTTCTGAAATTTCCCCTCTGCTGAGGTTGTTACAAAGTTCATTGCTTCTTTTACGACTGCTAAAATACACAAGTACAATAATCCATTCTTGCTTATCTTTCACTCTTTACAGCTGATTGATCCTGCGTTCTTCGTGGACGACAGATAGTACCTGTTGCCCGATCCAGGTTTGGCCAGGTTCGACTTTGGTAAATCCTCTCACGTATCCTGGCTCGACGCAGACATATTTATCCCTGTCGAATGGGGTATCAGGCAAAAGAAATAGAAGGAAGCTAATGGACTCACCATCCTCCATCTTCCATGTCTGCAATCTTTGACCCGGATTCTTTCCCTGGATTCCAGACTACAACATCTTTCAAATTCGTAGCTTTGATAGCTACGCCTCCTCCTGGCCAATTAACCTCATATTTTTGAGGTGCGTCCTCGTAAACGGAATCAGTGAAACGTCGTACATCTACACCGGCTCTCGTTTCTGTTTTGGCCGTAGTCCTAACTTCCTCGGTCGACTCGGTTTTATCGTAATAAGATACGTTTTGCAGAGGGAAGACAAGCACTTCGCTGGCTGGAGCACGGATGTAATTATGGAATAAAGTCTGGAATTCCAGGCTGTCGGGAGGATAGACAGTCGATGTCGAGGTGTTCTTCACATGTAGGTCGGTGCTAATCTGATGCTCTGCCAATGTTACGACGAAGGCTAGATGGAAAGATTTGTCGTATTTTGCTTTAATGCTGGCGGTTGGCTCGAGCGCTGCTCAAATATGAGTAATCTTACACGAAAGGATATAAGTAGAAGTTCGGATTTACTCAGTCGTACAGATACGCCAGCATCATTGTCCATAACGATGCTGTCGAATTTCCAGACTTCACTCCTCGCGAACCCATGTTGTCCGAGCCTGGAATGTTCGGGATGGACAGGAGCTCCGAAGCATGGGAATACGACAGGGATACCACCACGGACAGGCTTGGAACCGTCTAACGCAGCTTTGGAGGAGACAAAGAGATGCTCTACTGGCTGCGTGCTGTTTCTTGTAGCAGATTTCCAAGATATGACAGTTGCACCATACAATAACAGCTCGGCACAGGATCCCTAATCATAAGATGAACAATGAAAGTGAACCACGAGCATGATGACATGTATGCTAATACCTTGGGGTGGTTTAGATATACCCTCCCATCCACTTGTTCTACGGGCATGATGTTGCTTTGAATTTAGAAGGACGATCGTCCGGTGCGCAGCAAGATGTGGTAGTAGCAGTAAACTCGGAGTGTACTTGTACTGGGTCAACCTTGTGCAAACTATGACATCTTCCGGGCCGACTCCTCCCGTGCTACAACCTGGGAGTACAATTCCACTGAAATTACTGGACGCCGATCAGAGGAAAATATTTGACTAGAAAATTGTCTACTGAACATCGGATTTCGTCCGAGACAAACAGCTTTTAAATCAGTTAGGCGCTGTACGGGAACGGAATATCACGATATTTTTTGAATTTTGACTTTGCGAAAGTGGCACTTGAGGCGGAGAGACAATGTATTGAGTGTCCGCATGCAGCAAGATAGATTGATAAACTCACGGTTATACAGCAACAATTGACGGAGACTATGGATGAAGATCAAGTCGATGACCGTGGCCCAGGCAGGCAGAGGGACTTGGGGATCAGTAGTGACGATGATAGTATGGGAGAGGGAGAGGAGGGCGTTGAAGAGAGTGAAGAAGTGTCAATTGCCCGTAGGCGCCATGCAGTAATTTTCTTATGTGCCCAACAGCTCTCTCTTGCACTCATCAGTCTTCAAACGGTTGCGCAATCAGCAGCACTGGTAGCTACCAACCAACTCGACAACTCTCTACCCCAACCATACCACACCTCTATTTTGACAGGCCATGGATGGGTCCTTAAATTACTGCAGGGCCATCCCGACCGCATTCATGCTGAACTTGGTGTCAGGCGCCATGTCTTCCTCAAGTTAATTGACCTACTCAGACACCATGATTACATCAACTCAAGGCATGTCAGCCTTGAGGAACAACTCGCCATCTTCCTATACACATCTGTCATAGGCTTATCTGTTCGCCATCTTGGTGAATGATTTCAATGATCAAACAATACAATTTCTAGGTACTTCAAGAAGATCCTGGCTGCATTTACCTCCCCAGAAATTTATGTTACCTATGTCCATCTACCTGCTGAGGACGACCTGCCGCTGCCTTACATTATGGAAAATCCCAAATATTGCCACTTCAAAAGGTGCCATTGGTGCCATTGATGGGACACACATTGCATGTGCCCCATCTGCCGCCGAACACCAGGCATTGCGAAACCGCAAAGGCGGGGTATCTCAAAACTGCCTTGCCTGTTGCACTTTTGACCTCAAATTTTCTTACATGCTCAGTGGGTGGGAAGGCTCTATTGCAGATGCCGCTCTATTCCATGATGCTCGTACGAGCAACCTTCGCATTCCGCAGGGTAAGTACTATCTAGCGGATGCAGGATTTCCTTCCTGCCCCCAGCTTTTAGTGCCATACAGAGGTGAACACTACCACCTTCAGGAATATGCTCGTGGCGATCACAGGTAAGATCTACCCTCCATTTTTCACATCCTATTCTAACATTTAGCATTTTTAGGCCACAGAATCCTCGTTAATATTTCAACCTTCAACATGCATCTGCCCGCAATGTCATTGAGCGGATCTTTGGGATCCTCAAGTGGCGTTTTCATATTCTCCTCCTCCCTCCTGAATATGACATGGCTGTTCAATCACACATACCCCCCGCCCTCTGCATGTTACATAATTTCATATGGGTCCATGACCTGTATGAAATCCAAAACTACGACACTCCCACTGAAGACCCCATCCCTCACCTTGAGACTGGGACTTTAGCCACAGGGCCTCCCACCGAAGCAACCCGGACACAAGCAAATGTGAGGAGAGATGAGACTGCTAAGTAATAAAACTAAGTGAAACTCAGCCGCTGCCCGAGAGGCTATAGAAATGACTGAGGTATTCCTATACTAAACCCCCTACTACTTATAGTCGGAGGTGCTACTCGCTACAGTATAATGACTCCTAGGAGTATAATTGTGCTCCTAGGAGAACAATGGTTACTCCATGGAGTGGTGGCTATGCTCCATGGAGAACAATGGCTGCTTTGGCAGAGACCGGGTTTATCCGGTTTTGTCACTCCCACTTGAGTGCAACCGTAGTCCCATAGCTTTAGAGAATTTCCAGTGTTTTTCGTGAGTGAGGGGTTTAGTGAGAATGTCTGCAACCATATCTCCTGTAGGAACATATCTGATTACTGCCTCTCCCTTTGATACTAAGTCATCTCGGATGAAATGAGATTTGCGTTGAATATGTTTTGTGCGAGCACGGAACTGCAGATCTTGTGTAAGAATGATAGCTGCTTGATTGTCACAGTGCAATGTTGTAGGTCCATTTTGAGCATGTCCAATTTCTTCAAAAAATGTCCGAAGCCATGCAAGGTGTTGTCCAGCATTGCTCAATCCAATGTGCTCTGACTCCGTGGAGGATAAAGCGACCATGCTTTGTCTTTTACTTGTCCAGGAGATTGCTCCTCGGATGGTGATAAAGACAAACCCTGATGTTGATCGAGACGTGTCTGGGTCTCCAGACCAATCTGCATCTGAATATCCATAGAAATCCATGTCCATGGAGACATCTGTGCCATCATATCGTAGTTCCATGTCCCTGGTTGCTTTCAGATATTGGAGGACACATTTTGCAGCTTCCCAGTGATAGCTCCTTGGAGCTGAGCTATGCCTGCTTAGTATTCCAACGACGTAGGCAATGTCTGGGCGGGTTCCGAGCATGGCATACATGAGGGAGCCTATAATTGAGAGGTATAACACTTGGCGCCCTTCAATATGCATCTCGTGTTGCACAATATCTTCCCCTGGAGCATTTGCGAGAAGTTTTAATCCATGGGCCATTGGTTTCCATACAGGTTTGCAGTTCTTCATTCCAGTACGCTCCAGGACTGTGTCAATGTATTGGTGTTGCAATAGGGATATTGTTTTGTTTGAACAATCACGTTGGATTTTTATTCCGAGGATGTATTCTGCTTCTCCAAGGTCCCGCATTTTGAATATGGATTCAAGTTTGGCTTTTGTGATATCCATGAATTTCTGGGATGAAGCTCCTAGGAGGACGTCATCTACATAGACAACAACAAAGCATATTTGTTTGTTGTCCCGGAATACATAGAGACATGTTTCTGCATTTAGTCTTGTGAAACCAAGCTCCTGGAGCTTGCGATCAAAAGTTTTGTTCCATGTACGACCAGCTTGTTTTAACCTGTAGATGAATTTCTGCAATCTCCAGCAGTATCCAGGTTGGATAGGAACACCCATTGGAGGAAGCATGTATAGTTCTTCTTCAAGTTCTCCATTAAGATGAGATAAGCTGTGGATACGTCCATTTGATCAAGTTCTAGGTTGTACTTTGCTGCCAGGGCTAGAATAATTCAGATTAACTCTAAGTTTGCAACCGGAGCAAAAACCTCCTGGTAATCAATGCCCTCCCTTTGAGTAAAACCTCGTGCAACAATCCGGAGTTTGTATCTCTCAATGTTTCCATTTTGATCAAACTTGATCCGGAACACAGGTTTTGATGTGATGGGTTTCACCCCCTTCGGAAGTGGAACAGTGTCATATACTGCATTATTATTGAGACTTAGGAGTTCCTCCTCCAAGGCAGACTTCCATAATTCTCCATCCGGATGTGATAAGGCTTCCTTTAGTGTCCTTGGAAGGTCTGTGTTAGATGGACCAGTACTTGCTATTCCAGCAAAGAATGTCTCCTCTGTATCAGATGTTTCTTCATGAACCTCAGGAGTGTTAGGTTTCTCCATGGAGTTGTCATGCTGCTCTTTTTGAGACTGTTTCTCATCTAGAGTCCTTTGATAATCTCGGTTTTTGTCTGCAGGACGGGTCTGGTGACTGCTTCTGCGTACTCCTAGGACTTCAGCAGGCATGACTGCTCTTTTAGGAACTTGTGCAGGTACTTCAGGGAGTAGACACATTTGTGTATTTGTTGCCCCACTCACTCCTGAAGGTGTTGAATCACTCCTCGGAGGCATTGGATGACTCCTTGGAGGTGTTGTATGCCTTCCGGAAGCTGATCCAATGGACAGGCTGTCTAGCTGTATTCGGACTTTTTCCACATCAGCTGGCTGTATGTTGAGGGGCTATCCTCCCACTGACTGTAACTCTACTTTGGCTTTCCGTTCTGAAGATGGCCAGTGTTCAGGTCTTGGTTGTAGAGACTGTTGTGGAGGGTGTCTTAGCTGATCAGGTGCTCCCACTGCTCTCAGAACGTCTCCACGGAGGTATTGCCCCACTGCTCTTGGAACATCTTCATGCTGATTTGGTTCCATTTGCAATTCATTTGGATCTCGGATCTGAGGGTCAGGATCATCCTCCTCCAATGTATTTTGGTTTGGATAGTGAGCATTCTCTGGAATGAGTCCCTCCCACTGATCTGTGCTAGTGTCTGTGTTCCAGGGAGCAGTGTCATCCTTTTGTACCTTTCCGGTGTCATGCACCAAAATTGATTGGTAGCATGGACAGGTGTCAATAACGAAGCGAATATTCGAAAAGACTCGCCTTTGCGCCACACAGGCACAGTGCCACGTGGAATAGTAATTAATATTGCCTGTTTCGAACTTGTGGCTGATCAGCACCACCTCTATTAGGCAATCCAGTCACGCTCACCTTTGCTTTTCCATCCGGTACTTTCCGTGTTTCGGCATTTCGGCAAATTTTCGTGTCGCCACTGGCTACACATTGCATTGCGCCCTCGCTTTTGTCGTTTCCCTTACTCCCCTTCCTTTGCCTAGCCCCACCATGGGCCCCTTCCTCTCATTTTTATTCTCACCTGATGGTCGTTTCTGGATCCCCATTCTAATCCACTTTTCCGTCACCTCCACCCTCCTCCTCCTCATCTTATTTGCACCCCCACCATTTCTGATGTCACCACTTCCTATCCGCTTCCGTCGCTGATCTGTTGACTACCACGTGCCACTGCTGATATCAGCAAAGCCCCGGCGGCTGGTCCAAATAGGGCAACAGGTCCATCTTTATGACGTCAATCTGCCATCATATACTATCAAAACATCGGTCGCTTGTCTTGCCTGGTTGGAGCGTGGGTGGGTAGTTTTTGAGCTGGAGAAGGTTCATCCCTTTGCCTCGCCCATGTTCATTGCTGTCCCATTCACTTGGGTACACTTATCTTTTGTCCATTGTCTTTGCTACAGCTACACCTACCACACGCTGCCTGGGACTCACTTGTTCCAAATTGGAACTACTCCTCTCCCTCCCTCGTTTGATCAGGTGGTCCAACACAACCAGTCCATTGGTAAGGCCATGGAACTGTCGGATTTGGACTAGGTGGTGGACCAGTGGCTCCAGTTTCTTTTTCTTCAGCAGAACATTCATTTACAGTGCGATTATTTTTGATTTTTGAATCATTTTTATGGACACATATTTTTTAGAATGCCTGACTGACAATAAAGGAACTGTGTTGATACTGATAGTGTTTTGCCTTGCCCTTTTTTTACTGCATCTTCCCATGATATCATGATTTTCTTGCTCTCTTTTTGCTATTGGACTTTACTTTATGGCTGTACAAACCTGTGACATCACTCACAGCATTCATTATTCTATCCCTTTCTTTCCCTTATTTTGATGATCTTATCCTGTAGCAACTACGCAGGATTTGTCAGCGTACATTCCTTCCTTCATGTTCTTTCTCATTCTTTTTGCGCAGCTATACTGTGCATAGCCTACCTTTCTTTTCACTATATAAACCCCTGTATTTTACCTTGTAAAAAAAGAAAAACAAGAACTCCAATCCAGACTTCTTCTCTACTCTCAAGTTCACTACTCTGCTACTTGTGATCCAGTGTGGTCACAACACTTCCCACTTCTACCACTGTTAACTGCTGTCATCGTCACTTCCAACTTTTGAAGTCATTGTCATCCCTTTCGATTAGAGTCCTTCTGAGCACTACAGTTTGTGCGTCAGGAGCCTGCTATCACTGGGAACCTCGTCACCTCGTCATCCTTGT